CTTTAATAAAGCGTCCAAGGCTTTTGCCCTAAGAAACAATGCTGATGACCACTGTACAAGCAAACGTGACCCTTAACCCTGATAATATCGAAAAAATGGCACCGTAAGCCCCATCGATCACACCACCCGTAGACACGAAAGTGTACCTTGCCAATATTGTGAGAGATGCGTTAGCGTCAGGGTTTGTTTCCTTACTAGGCATCACCTTTCCGTCGAATAACTCTGGCTATGACAGTTATAGAGATACCATGGCAACGTCACCTTACTTGGCCTTGCAGATCGTGGGTTCCTTTTCCCCGTACACTTATAAATACAGCCTTTGTGACTGCACGCAATAGCGAGACGGTCGCTGGCCGCACTCTTCGCTCGCCTGCCGCTCTCACGCAATAATCCACTCAACACAGTTCTCATTCTCCTAATCACAACTATAGTGCTTCGCCGCATCAATATGCACATTGCGGAGGAGCACGCTTCTAAGGGGGCAGTTGGAAAACATTTGTCAGGGAAAGAGAGGAAAGGGGAAGGGAGAGTATGCGTTGTGTGGGTAACGAAAATTAGTTACCCACATGCTTTGAATAGACTATACCATGTAAAGTAAGAAAAATAGAAAACGGAAGGGGTACCTTGTTAGTACCTAATGGCTTCTTTCCCCCTGTGGGGTTCGGCATCTAATGCAGTAAACGGGCACTCAAGAGCAACAATCAGTTGGTTAAGGCTGATAAACTGCCTTCTGAGAACTGTAATATAATGCGCTTCATTATCATAGGTTCGGTATTGACAGAAAAAATTTACGTTGAAGTCGCAGTTTAAATTTCCGCGCTAAAATTTCTGAGCGTGACGTCGCTAATCTCAGGATTTATTTCTCGCAATTTCGTGAAATTGGCTCAATTAATTTTTCGAAACTTGGTATGCGATTTTTATGGCAATTAAATATGACAACGTACTTCAATGTTATCAATTAAAGCCTGCGTACGACCCAGAAGACACTTTCAAAGTCTGTGACGTCACGCTGTTCGGTGCCGAAATCTCAAGAGTGCCTCTATCCCCGCATTTTCTTTTTGCGCGTTTTCTCGCTTACCAAACATCATCCCGCGGTAATAATGGCGTTTTCAAGATTATGAACTTCTGCTTTACTGATACGTGAAAAAACAGTCGTTCTTATTTTTAGTGTCTCTTTAAGGCCTTACATAACTCATCAAACACAAAAAACATTGACGTCACAGGCGTAGTGTCCCACACCGGGGACGTAAAACACCAGGGTTGTTATATATCATCACGGTTTGATTACATCATCTTTGGCGTCGTCACGACGTTCGGGATAGATAATTGAAATACGTGACTTCACCATGACATCACACGATGACGTCATACTACGTCCTCGTCGCTTGATGGGATGATTACAGAGGCCAGGTGAGCTGGACAATGCTTCCAACGACTGCGACCTTGAACGCAGTGTTAGATGCCACAATGTGCAGAAATCTGTTGGTGGAGGACGGGGCAGGATCAACCCATCGTGTGATTAGAAAAAAAAAGATGGCCCTAACCTTACAGTCGTGTTAGGCGGATGCGAGTTTGTGAGATTTTTGAGGTCATATTCGCGATAGTATGCGGCCTCCAGTCATGCTATTGTGTTGCGGAAAACAGGTCTATAATTAAAAGAAAGCAAAAGAGGGGCATGAAAAAATATAGGACGCCTGTGCTCCGCTTTCAAGAGTAGGTCGCGATAGCGTAATCACAACTCGTGCGCAAATAAACCTCGCAGTCCTTCTCTGTACATTATTGAAACGGGTAATGTCGGTTTTAGTAAAAAGGCCCAAAATAATACATGCGTAATTGAGTTTTAGCCTGCTCAGTGTAATTCAAGTAAGTAATTTTACACCTAGAAGAGTGATATTACTAATTGCATTCTTGGTGGCATTATTTGCAATTACTCCGTTTTCATATGTGTGTGCTTGTACATGAAACAGCGCTACTTATCCGCGCACCTGTGGGGACTAAAGATATGGATGCATCTCGACATTAGTGAACACAATGAGTGGATGAGTGTTTGTGTCCTTCCATTTGACAGTCCATTTTCCTACTGTGTTGCGCCGTAAGAAATTTCACGATGGATGTTAGCGGAATGACTACGTTCGATTTCTTCAATTCCACAGCAGGACACCAATTGCGCTAGCCTTCATCGCTAATACGATTGCAGGAAGACGAGTGTTGATTCGCATTCTCTGAACCTTTTTTTTCGGTGGGTAAAATGAAATACTCACACAGCAGTACGAAGAAACAATTTTCGAAAATGAAGGTTTTCGCTCATGCAAAATTGTGCAACTGTGGAAGAAAAAGTGACGTTTTTGGCGGACATGTTTGCATATGGAACGAAAATCCTCTCCAACTGCGACTTTTACTTTTAGTTCCTCAAGAAGAGGCCATGCTCGTTTCTGCATCTGCGCTGAGGCCGCTATTTTCATTCGGTGCCAAAAAAATAGAAGTCGGGAATAAAAACACGACCGACAATTGATTCACTTTGAAGTGGCTCACAGTAAGGGCTGTGTCTTTGGGCGAAACGGAAAACGGGTGACGACAAAAAAAGGCGTGCACGTGTAAGTGGAGTGTAGAAGGCGCAGCTAAAGTGGAGTGGCCCACCTGTGCGTCCCAGACATCGATTCACGCTCCGTGCTAGCCGAGTGTTTTCTGTTGCTGCCGATTGGCTGTCCGGCGCGACAAGGATTGCTCAAACGAATCACGCAAACGTCTTCATTGGGGTGTTGGCAGAAGCGTGCAAGACGCTGCCACGGAAACAGGCCGCATGGGAAGCCAGGTGAGGAAGCGCGCCCTAACATGTTCTACGAAATATTGGTGTAGGTAAAATAACTATAGTAGACATTATCATGCCGCGTTGTAAGTTCAACAACAGCGTCGCAGTGTACACACGCTATTTTACCAATATACCACGGTTCATAATGAGCTGATACAATGGTTCACAAAAACGTGTCACAATATTTCCTTTGTAGTTTCAGTGATAATATATGAGTATAGTGAAATTCAATGCAAGCAGGCCTACTCCATATTAACTCTTCAGCATAGGCGCGCGTAGGCCTCTTTATAACGAGGAATCAACGCTCACCCCCTTCCTCAACTGACGATCCAATACGATGGAAAACAAGTGTCTCAAGAGACGCAAAATTAAACACAAAGCGATGACGTCCTGTTCCCAAGGACTTCCCTTTCGTCCTCGTCTATCCAGGAGTAACGATGTCAAGACCTCTCGGAACGCGACATCCGGGTACCTCAGCCGCCATTGTCGTCAAAGACCGGAGCGGCCATAACCTTTCACATTAGCGATGACGGCGCAGGCCCAGCTGATTATAAGTTCGGTGAAGGGCAGACTTGGTTCCCCCTCCCGCCTTATTTAAATAGGTGGTAGTAAACCGCCCCACTTCGGCCCCTTCGCTATCTGGGGATGCTTCCTAATGTTTATCAAAACATGTTGTTGAGCTAGTCTGTTAATGCTCGATCTCAATAGATAAGACGAAACTAAAGACAAAAATGCTTTGGAATCGAAAAGAGGGCTATTCTGTTTGTATGAATTTAACCTACGACTACCTACAAACCATTCTGTTAGCAGCATTATGATCATCACCTAGAATCGAACTCAAATCGACCTAAACGTCCAAGGGTTCAGCTTAAACAATTCCCACTCAGAAAACTAATTGTCAGCTTAACTCCACTGCCTTCCTCTGGTAACAGCTAGGGAGCCCTAAATGACAACCTTATACTAAAGCATTTTTTTCTACTGCTCACCACCTAACTAACTGTGGAACCACGAATGAAGTTACTAATAGTAAGACTCTACTGAGCGTGATACTCCTGCACGTGATATTTTTCTTCCTTCCTTTGTTTTGAAGAAGCCAGCGGTGTTCTAAAGCTGAAAGTACTCCTGCCTCCATAAATTATTTTGCTAGAAACCTACGAAAACTCGTTTTTCACGCGAAATCGGTTAATTTTGAAGACCCTACCCCACCGCAGTGGTCTATCGGCTAAAGCACTGGACTGTTGACGCGCAGGTCGCGGGATTGAATCCCGACTGCGGCAGCTGCATTTTAGGCAGAGGCGGAAATGCCATAGGCTTGAATGTTCAGAATCGAATGCACGTTAAAGAACCCTAGTTGGTCGAAATTCCCGGAGCCCTCCTCTGCGGCGTCTCCCATAATCATATGGTGGCTTTGGGATGTTTAATCCCACACATTGTTATCAATTTTGAAGACCCTGAACATGAAAGCAGACACTAAATTTAACATTACTCGGCTCTAGTTGCGTCATCACCAAGAATCTCGAAGCTACTGTTGCGCTGCCCGGCGAACTCAATCCGGCAACCGTGACTGGTGCGGCGCACCATGACGTCAATACAAGAACACACCATGACGTTGGCAGCTTCCTACCACGCAGTGCGCCGACGTCCATGAAGCTCTGGAAAGGTTTAAACGAATCGATCAGTAATGTGCACTTTAAAATACATGCATTTCTGGCTGTTTTTTTTTGTCTGTGAAACTATTGAATTACTTTACGTAACGCTTCATTAGGAAAACCAGAAAGTGGTACGGAGGGGAAGATGGAAGTTTTCTATGAAAAATTCCTAAACAGGGGTTGTGCTGAGCAAGCGTTTTGACAAGCATTCTTGTATTTCTCAAGGCTAGAACAGAACTTATTTCTTTAGCGCGAGCGTGTCTACGTTTCATACCCTCCCCTCCTTCGTTAGGATGGAAGAGAGGGTACAAAGCGTAGACACGCTAGCTCTAAAGAAATCAGTTATGTTCTAGCCTTGAGGAAGACAAGAATGCTTGTCAAAACGCTTGCTCAGCACAACCCCTGTTTAGGAATTTTTCACTTTTATTGGGAAAAAATAATTTCTGTCACCTGTGTATTCTGACCTTCTGATTACTCACATCGAGCAGGTATAACCTTGCCAATCAAATTCGGAGGAGGCGGTTCGCTACCTCGCGGCGGACATGGCGGCGTCAGCTATCAAGAAAGCCACCATCACTGCAGTGTTTCTCGTTGTCGCTACGGTGACCGCGACGGCTCAGAAGCCATTGCATTTTGGTGAGATACACCTCTGCCCTTACTTCGTGATCAGCACTCGCTTCGAAAACTTCCGAGTGAAAAGGAAGAATTGCTACATAAACTCACAGGGTATTTTATGCATAATACCGCAATATGACTCAAAGCTCAAAGTCATATTCTCGTTCTTTGTATTCTCAGACAAATGTATCGCTTCAAAAGGGACCAACATTTGGCGTGTTGGTGCTTTAGAGCCACAGCGCAAAGGAGGAAACACTAGACAAGATGAAGACATGATAACCACTTGTGCTTCTTCTCTGCCCTGTGGTTTATTAGGTGGGACTCCATTGAGTTCTAAGCCCCTTATAGTTGTGAAACGGGCTGGGTTACTTATATTTATTTATTTTTATTTTCTGTGCCCCACAATAAATCAATGTATTGATTCCCAGACACCCCAAAATTTTCTGCGCGCAAAACTTTTCTCGACCAATTGTAGGACTGTCGCCAAAAGGTAATTTTCTCATATCAAGACGTTACTGAACAAATGACAGAGTAGACGTCTGAGGTGCTACATCGTGATCCTCACAATCATCCAAACGTATTCAGTTCAATTCAATTTATTTCATCTCAAGGACGAGGGTAGGTTCGGGAGAAAAGTGACGTGTGCCACTTGAGGAGAACCCGAACCTCCATAATACATGGCGAGCAACAAGGACACGAGTAAACATAGACCATGAATCATAGGCTGTGAACCAAAACTGTTTTATTGCACTGGTGTCAACTTGATTTACTTCTGCATGGCGCTTTTGTGCATGAGTCTCCAGGTTTTTCTTTCTCGTTAACGAAACCTCACGGGCGTTACACATAAGCGGGTTTTCTTTGTTATGAGCGAGAATGTACCAGTGAAGGCATTTCGTCTTAGCAAATTTGCTGTCACACACACCGAATCCACGGGATTGTCAAAACGACGCACGGCACTTTTGGCAGATGTGTCTATTATCGATCATGTCGCCACTTAAACATCTTCAAATCTCGGCCGCACTGGCGAAAACCTGCTCACAAGCGACGCGTCCCAGGTGTGACGTCATGCTGGATTCCTTACAGCTTGCACGATGCTTCCTCACTCTTTGCAGCAAATCTGCGATATAACCGATAAGGTGCATGACTAAGACGCTTTTGCTGCAAAAGCTTACAAAGTTCATTGTGAATTAACCTGGGACGACTTAATGGCAAAATCCTTTTTTTTTCTTTTCATTATACGTGTGGATCCTCTCCCGCTTCCTTCTACAAGCTTTATGCGCCTAACAGCTTTTCGAACTGCCTCTGGGATCAGAGGCGTTGCAAGATATCGGCACGGCGTGTTTCTCAGGGATGACCAAGAGACAATGTCACGAGATGAAGCCATGTGGCGTTGCGTGGGGAGGTGACGTCACTGTGACGTCATGATGACGTAACAAGCTTGGTCGCCCAGAACCTCGTGATGCAGTCACAGGCTAATGTCATCCAGATACTTTTCATGCATGGGCGGAGCATCTTAAGACCTCAAGATGTCCGTCCGGCCGTCGTAGTCTACAGCAGATGTAGTGCTGGTGCATGCAGTCAAATGGAAACACCTGTGAACAACAAAAAGGTTATCGAGAGGCTGTCAACCAGAACAAACAAAATAAAAAGCCGCAACAACGTAAAAAAACACCATCGTTCATTCACCCATTAATGAAAGCATATGACAGAACAAAAGGTTGACCAAATCAAAATAAAACGCAACACTACGATCCATGATCCGGCGCACACTGCTTCTTTCCATCATTGGCACTCATTTCGTGGATATGTGATTTTTTTTTTCGGTCAACTCACCAACAACTATGGTCCCTTTTCGTGTTTCATGAGGCATATATGTATTTCTCTTTATAAGTGAACATGATTACAGCAAAACAATTTCTGTAGAAGTATTTTTTTAGATATGAATTGAGTGCAGCGGGGAGTTTACACCCCAACATGCGTGAGGCTTATGTTCGTGGATCGCTGTGTTATAGCTGTCCTGCTCATTCTTACTTAATATATCATAACGTAATCTGAATAATAAAGCATGTGAATGCGTTCGTAACAAATACTTTTTGGTCTTGATTGCAGTCGTTGTGGCGGAGAAAGGCAACAATGTTGCTGCGCTAATGATAACCGAAACGCTCAAGAAGAGCACCAAAGTAGCTCTCGACTACTCTCTCGTTGAACTAGACCCAGACGAAGCCATCATTGCAAACGGTAAGTGTTACGACCTACGTCTCAGCAGTTCTCCTTAAGCGTTATTTTGGAAGACTTCGCTACATTAACGGGAAACGGGATGACATTTGCAAGCTGAGTTCGCGCTCGTTCTTGAGCCGGCTTGGCTTGGTTAGTTGCGCGACCACGCTGCCTTATGAGAGCCGTGGCGTCACGTAAAGGACTTCATCTAAGAGGCTCTGTACGAGATTGTTATAAAACTCAACGTTACCAAAGTGAACGCCAGACATGCGAACGACGGAAATCTGCACATTCGGAAAGCGAATGTCTGAAAAATGGACCAATGAAACTGGTGAGGACGTTGACTCCGTCGAGCTCTGTGACGGTGCATAGTATGTTCAATGCGACAGCACGCGAACCATATATCGCCATCACATTCTTATGCGGGTTCAGATCTGATGTCGATTTCATCTGGCACCTGTCACTCGAGCAGCACCGAAACAGATTGCATATTAAGGCGCTTCATTTGGCCATTGTGGTCAAGAGGAACGAAAGTGATGGCATTGACCTCGGGCCTTCAGTGTGATTTTTCATTCGATGTGCTTGGTAATGAAGAGGCCGGCCATGGTGTTACGTTTTGTTGCCTTTTGGTTTGTTACAAGTTCAAAATTGTCGTCCATTGGCCCCTCGTTTGTCAGTTAGTAGACATGTGTCCTCTCTGTCACAGTAAGGGCCCGTCCGCTTTTTGGACACGGCCGGCACGGACCCCGCAGAACCTGGCAGATACCCTAACTGGTCCATGTTCATCACCGATGAACGCAGCAATAGACTTCGCTAGGTACAAACGTTATTGCGCAAAAGTTCATGAGACACTAGAACAGCGCACTGGTAGGCCTCAACTTATCGCGAAATCATAATACGTAGACTGCTGCCCTCAGAATTCACATTGGGAAGTGTCCTAATAGGTTGTCAATGTTTCGGAGCGTCATGTCTATTACCAAAGCTCAGAGAAAGGGGCTTATGGTGGTATCTAGGGCGCCCTCATTGACCACCAGTGTACCTTAGGACACAGGTGTATATGTTTTGTTTTTTCATCACCCCACAATACTCGCATTTTAGTTGCTGTAGTTTCCCTTGCGACGACGCCCGTTCCTGCTACTTTCCTATCAAGAAAGTCGCGCTGATAGCCTATGCCATTAGTGACCTGGAACGACCCGGTTGTCGACGATCACGCAAGAAAAGGCACGTGAGATAAACACCAGATGCCACAGTACTTGTAGTGCGTATTTTTTTTTTCAGAACAGCGCGTATTCATTAGAAATATTACACAAATAAATTAAGGCCGTTTGGCACAGCTGGTGTCAATCCTGTAAAAATAGCGAAACGGCACGCTGTTTTTTTTTGTTTCTCTTCTCATTTTTTATTCTCCTATCTCTTGTTTGCCTCTCCTTCGTGCTCCTTCTGCCCTTTCGGTCTTTCTATCTCTATTTCACACACGATTCGCTTTTTCTTTCTAGCTTTTTCTTTCTTTCTTTGGCTCTTTCTTTCACGTTCTGCCCCGCTTTAGATTTTCCTCTCTCTGGTTGCATCTGTCCCTGCCTCTCTCTCTCTCTCTCTCTCTCTGTGTCTTGTAAAGTTCACTCCAGCCTAGCGCGAAACGCGAAGATAATTCGAGCACTATCTTAGGCCACAGGAACGCCGTCATGCCAGTCGTATTATCAGACAACCACATCGAAGAATAGGGTCACTTCCATTTTTTTTTCACAGAAGAGCCGTGTATGCTCTAGCTTAGTCCCTTGACGTTGGTGAAAACTCCGTCGTCTGACGACGTCACCATGCGCCCCTCAGCAACGCCTTCGAGGAAGAAAAGAAGGAGAAAAATAAGGAGGAGGAGGGGGGGAACAATTAAATGAGATGATTTGATTTCAAATGCAAAGCATTTCTTAGCGAACTTCGGCAACTTTGAGAGTATCTATCTATCTATCTATCTATCTATCTATCTATCTATCTATCTATCTATCTATCTATCTATCTATCTATCTATCTATCTATCTATCTATCTATCTAGCCCCTTACGTTTCGGTGCTCTCATGGTCCCCCCCTTAACTTGACGTAAACCAAAATTAGCATGAGAGGGTAAGATGGTTTGGCGAATATGATGCACTGGTCAAGACATGAATAATGTCACAATCTCGTCGCGTACATCGTCAAACATTTCCCGCCAGACAGTGGCACATACCCGCGGCCTTGTAGGTGCCGCTGGTATGCGCGTATGTGCCACTAGTGATTGACACTTATCTACCCAGGAACGAAGAGAACACACATGGGCAATTTTAACGTTCGAGCGTTAAGAAATACCCGACATCGGTAGCGGTGACCCCATGAATGCAAAAAGTAAGTGTCAAGGTGGCAGCTGGAATCGAACCCAAGCATTCTTGGAATCGAACCTCAATCGAATCGGGCTGGAATCGAACCCAAGCATGAAACACTTTACTACAAAGCTACGCCAGGTCTCGGAAATACTTTTCAAATCGACGCTAATCTTCGCGAAACGTCAATAGTGGTTGCAGTACTGGCTACCCAATTTTGTAAAAATTACATATATACCGCGTTGATACAGCCGTCACGTCGATTAACGTCAATTCTGGTTAGTTGCCATGCGCTCAAATTAATTTATGTAGCAGTGTCCAGGGCTAGCATCCTCGCGAGCATCAGCGCTTCATATCAGCATCAGGTTTTGCTAATTGGAATCGTTGTGCAAGTTCCGACAACTTGTTTTTAAACATCTGCAACTCTTCAACATATGTCTGTGCATGCAACATTCGTGCATATATTTAGTGTCGTTTCATAAAGAGCCACTCAATATAAAACTTGCAACACGGTCACCTTCCTTCCGCATGCTTCTCATAACGTCGATTCTCAGGTACGTGGGATCTGCCTAATTTTCTTTTTTTTTTGGGGGGGGGGGGGAGGGAGGTAGCATTCAACACCGGGTATTCACGCACCACAGACAAGCGTGGAAAAAAAAAGAATAAATAGAGAGCCGGAACCTAAACCTGGCTTTCCGAGGCTTAACGGCTTCACTTTATGCTCATGTCACTATATCTAAGCGTAACTGGCTATCTTTAGACTTGACAGGCTATTTCTAGGCTAAGCTTGGCTGGTACGTCTAAGCCACACGCTTGCATATCATTTTTCCTTTCATTGCAATAGCAACTATATGTACACTGCCGCCGGCGTCGACGTGTACGTCACCGTCACTCACCACATATATATATATATATATATATATATATATATATATATATATATATATATATATATATATATATATATATATATATATATATATATAATGAAAACGCAAGAAGAAAAATTCCAGAGCGTGTAATGGAACTTGGAACCTCTGAAACGTGACTGCGAGGTGTTAACCACTGAACCATGGAGCAGCCCTTCCTTGAACGTTCAAACGGCAAGCCATTTATACCTACCACCTCCTGTTGGTGAAGGGCATCTCGGGGGAGGAAAGTAACTATTGTGTTTTCAGCATTACCAGCAAGATGGCGCAATGAGCGCGCGGCGGCGCGCGCTGTCATCTTCTACGCGTACTTTGCCTCGCAGAGAGGAAGGGGTGGACGTAAAGCTCTTAGACGCTCACTCGCGCGCCCTTATCTCGCGGTGGGGAGGATCGTACGTCTTGGCTGGCCTTTAGCTTTCGCCGTAACGATTCTGCTGTAGTTACCGGGCGCACAAAGGTCGTAGCATACGTTGCACAGTCTCCCTTTGCGTAAAGAGCGCGCTTTTCAGACACAGCGAAGTATAATTTAAGACGCTCGACATCTGTAACAGTGAGCTCGTTTCATGCGTTATTTGTGCGTGAGAAACGTGGGGCGCGTTTCGATCTGCTTACTATTCTGTGCATGACCTTCCAATTGGTTGCTATCACGTTCATTGCTTCACCTTAGCGACAAGCTGTGACTTTTTTGCATACTCTCGACACCAGCAAAGCTTTTTCTTCCCTTTGAAGAAGCACGGCGAATGGTTTTATTGAAACGCAGTGTGCAGCGCCATCTTTGATGGTCCGAAGAAGCCAGACGTTCTCATCGATGCCGTGCGCACCCCGGGCACTGCGCACAAGCTGTCGACGGCGGTGCGCTACTCGGCACGCCTGTTGGGGCTGCCGACGCTGAGCCTCACGTACGGCGCGCACGACGACTACACGCTCAGCGGCTGGGATCGACTGAACGAGACCGAGGAACAGTTTTTGATTCACGTAACACCGCCTGGGGAAACCTACACGCAGGTGATTCGGGGCATCTGTGATAAGATGAACCTCGCCACAGCCGGCATCATCTACGACCGGAGCGTCAGTGAGTGGCCACCTTAACGCTGTTTCAAGTTCAGGGTGAGATGAAAGTTTGTAGATGAGGGATACTTTCTGACACGGGGTATACCACTGGAGCGTTCGTTCCAACGAGTGGTTGTGTATTTAATTGAGAAAGTAGGCAATACCACTGGTGGAGGAATTGGCACGACCGATGCTGTGTGTTCGAGAGTATTCATCTATTTAGTGAGTGCCTGCGTAATTTGGACAGATTCTCAGTGGTGATTAATATATAGGTCAATAATAACTTATGCATGCAACCCGTTAGAGGTAATGAAAATCTGTGAGAAGTGTTAATGAAAAGTTCTCTTCGTCTCAGTCCTATGCAATCTGAGTCGAAAAAGTTTATGCAGCATTGGTTGTATCCATGTGTGTGATCTGAGAAGCTCATTTATTTGATCAAAGGAAAAGCAAGCTAGGCTTAAATGTGGCAGACAAGCTTTGTTTCCTTGTCACTGTCGCAAAATGAGTGGCGCTCAGCAGACAATAAATTATTTTGAACAAAGACTTAATTCAAAAATACACGAGTCATATCTTGTATCGTGTGAAAAAAATATCGATACAATCATGCATTTCTTTTCAGGGAGCATGCTAATGGTCCTTTCAAGGTTTAACGTGCCTCTGATAACAAGGTTCACTTAACTTATTTGTATAACTCAGGCGCCAACATTGTTTCAAGCGCTTTTCGGTTAAGTTGCCAAAATCATAATAGTCTCTCACAGGCTATTACCTAAAAGCATGCATCTGGTGCACAACGCAGGTAGAAAACTGAGCAGAGCCAAGACGATGACAAATAGCTACAGAAACAACAAAGAAGCGGTCTTCGTAGATGCCGCTCGTTACAAACACAGAAGCTGCTTCGTCGCGGCTGTAGTTAACCCCAAGAAACAATGCAGCACCAGTCTGACAATACACACGAGATGCGCTGAAACGGCGGAAGAGATATATATGACTTTGGCCACATCACAAACTGACGCGTGTTATATAATCAGCGATTCACAAGCAGCTACACGCCACTTTGCAAATGGCAGAGTCTCCCCTGAAGCACTGCATATTCTTAGAACAGGCAAAACCAACCAAGACGACAGACGCGATTGCATTCTCTGGTTCCCAGCTCACATACCCGACACCACGGGAGATATCAACCCTAACAAGGTGGCACACAACGTAGCTCGAGGACTCACTTTCCGGACTCACAACTAATGTTGATCCCTCGTCAGAATTTCCGAATGTGTGGGAGTTGGGGGACCGAATAACAACGTTCGATGAAATTACGAAACGTTATAAATTACCGAGGCGTGTTTACCCCTCTCCTCATCATAAACTCAACAGGGCACAGTCTGTCCAATGGCAACAATTACAAACCAGATCCTATAGGAATCCAGCGCTACTACATGCTATGTATCCAGAGATCTACGCGACCGCTCAATGCAAAAATTGTCAGGCACGGGCTTCCTAAGAACATATACTATGGGAATTCCAGAGATTAAAACACAGTAATGAGAACGCGCCCTCCACCGACAGCCTCCGCGCACGTTATCTGTCCATGCTGCTCAGTTCAGCCCTGGGCGATCAGCTATGGGCAATCCAGCTGGCCGATGAAGCCGCTAGGAGGCAAGACCTTCTAGCCGACACCTAGGCCCAGGTCACTAACACGCCGGATACAAAATAAAGTTTTTTCCTTCGTTCCTCTCACAGGCTAAACGAGAACAGGTCTACTTTTTGCAGGAAGTGCAGGGGGGTCAAAAGTTCCCAGGCCACACTGTCGTAGTATCACACGAAAGGGGCCTGGGAACTTTTGACGCCCCCCCCCCCCTTTCCCCCCGCTCCCTGTATTTGCCATGCTATATTCTCTGTGTGGCTAATCGCATATTGTATAACGGGGATATCAAGCTCACAGCAGAGAGCGGGCCACACTTCTAAAATTCAGTCCCGCTGCCTGCAAGGGCCTGTACAGAGCAGATGGTTAGTGAAACGCAAAGGTGGGAGATGGGGTGGAGAAGAGGGACTGAACAAAATATGACTTAATACTGTCATTTGAAAGTACGCATTTCCGATATCCCATATCGGTTAATAATTAAGCGTACTGGTGTCATGACTCAAGATCGTAAGGGTTTCTTCATAAAAAATGCTAATGGCCAGTCCCATTCCGGTAGCCTATGCGAACAAAGCGTTATGATTTGCGATAGGCGAGCAAATAAATATAAAACGTAGCGAAACCCTAAACTTGTTATCCTTCTGAAGCTTCGGGCTGCCGGTGAAGGGTCCTCGGGCGGCGTGTTTGAGACTCCGGATGTGGAATAATGAAAGCAACCCTGCGTATTCCAAAGCTGTCTAGTAAAAACATGACACCCTACTATCATCCCTCTATCATTCCAGTCATCGACCACAAGTACGCCCGACTGCTGGAAAACTTGCCGACTATGAATATCATGAGAGAGTTCGATGGCACCAAAGACGACTTCAAGAAACAAGTGAAGTGCATTCGCTCCACGGACGTGTGGAACTTCTTTGTTGTTGGCACGAGCAGCACGTTGAACATGGTCTTGGACCTGGTGAGAACCGTTTGTTCGTTTCATTGTCGAAATACACGCAATGTCATCAACTGCGGTGCTCGCCCTATTGCATCACTCGTACACTGCAAGGTTCGACGTTAACAGGGCGTCGTTGGACGCACGAGCACGTCTTCACATCTCCTCTAGTGTTCTGAATGTTCCATGGGACATATTTACCCGGGGCTCGATTTCAGCTCTCATATACTCAATGCCCTTGAAAACACGAGTGTTGCGGTACCTTGGGCATTAAACTAATTTGAAATTAAGGTCATTTCCTCAAACGATGGTTCACAATGTAGCTGTTCATTCCCTAGAGATTTAGCTGCGCTAATAAAACAAGGACACAAGAAACTTGATGACAGCACGTGCTCTCCTTCACTTTTTTGTCTGCTTACACCATTAGCGGAGTTAAACATTCGGAGAATGAACATTAACGAATTAGCCCAGCTTGATGCTTTTCTGATAATATAACTGTAATCTAAGTGTAATCTAACCGAATTTGGTTGGGTTCTTTGTTACCTCAGTGCTTCCGATGCCTTCCACTACAGCGCACCTCGCAATCCAACCATGGTTCTGGCCCGTAAAGCCTAAGTTATTATTAATAAATTTGTCATTGCCACCTCAGAAAGATGGCTATGCTGCAATGCACACCCTAACTTGAACTATCAATCCTCCCTCCTTCCCTCCTATCAATGTGTTGCTTATTAACATTAAAATAAAAGGCGTGTTTATTAACAAAGCGCTAAGACCTGTTCCTTGTAGTAATAAGAGGATCGAATGTGTGTGAACAAACGATGTGCTTTCATTTTACACCACATGAGCGACTTCGCTCTGATATCGAAGTGTTTGAAAGTGAGGTGAAAGATATGAAACACTATTTGCGCATATTTTTTTTAAATACAGCATATACTTTTCAAAATTGCCAAGCGTCAAGGTTTATTTCGCGCGTGCTTTATTCCTGTTTCTCACATTCTCTTCCAGATTCGCCCAAATAAGTGGGACAATCGCCAGTATACCTGGTTTTTTATCTCAAAGGTAAGTACGTTGCTTGTTCTTCGCTACCTCACTTCGTGTCAGGTGTGCGTGACAATGGTAAAGAAAAAAATTGGGCCCGTTTCGGACTTTATAAACTGCCCAAGTTGCGTAGTAGGGCTGAAGATTCGCCCAAAGCTCTTTGTACAAAACCGTCAAAACCACGGAGCTCTTTAGGTGGCGAGGTGAATCCCTGACAATCCGTCGTCCGCGCTTTCAAGACCAGCTGCGAGGGCGCATGTTAAGTAGAGGAGAGGGAAACCTAGTGCAGCGAGTTGAACCTGGCAGGGCAAGCGTAATGACGTGGAGAGGAGAAAGCTCGAGGAGAGCAAAGGCGAAGCTATGACGAAAGAGAAACAGGGTGGTGCGTAGAAGAGGCAAGAGCACGAGCACGATTGGCTGTACAGGCCAAAGGAGCCAGCAAATGGTAGCACTCGCTCCAGTGTAGCTGGCGAGAGAGGAGCAAAGGCGCGCGGATGCATTGTTGAACCTGCGCATTTTTTTTTTTTTGGGGGGGGGGGGGGGGTCGCGCTGCGCTGCACGCGCCGCACGCTCACTCACTAAGACATTCCCCCCATCAAGCCCAGCAGACGCTCTCCACACCCACTCGCCACCAAACCGCCTTCATGAAAGCCAGCAGCCAGATAAGGGACATGGTCGTTTGCGTCCCATTTCTAAAGAGTGGCACTCATCGGTAGTATTAGTACATGCAACTGCTAGTTTTGCTTTTATTCTCGTTATCTTTGCTTTACTGCAAAATTATCCTACCCCTTCGCCAGTGAGTATTTGAGTTTCTTTCATAAGGACACATTAGCCATTGCATGAACTGTCATGTGCTACGTGTTGACGCTCGCCCTTCACCGGCAGGAGGACTACGATCCCGAATGCTCGGACTGCGACAATGTCTCCTTCATTGTGGCCAAGCCGAAGGTCACCAGTAGGTCTCTATTCGCGGCAGCCAAGAAAGACAAAAACTTTGAAGCCCAAAGAGAACAGGTACCAGCACTCACTGCTGCTTTCCGGAGCCCATCGGTTTTATTTCCTCACACTTCGTGTTGAAAAGAAAGACAAAAACGTGATAAAGAAGAAGACGCGTACGTAGATATAATTTTTGTTTTACTTTCTTCGTTTTCACGTGCCCACGGAGTCACTATAGTTGTTGTTACACTGGAAGAGATAAATGGGGCTATTTTCATTAACGTTTAATCTCTTCGGGATTACTGGTTAAAAGATGACTTCCTGCACTGTTCCTTTTGTTTTCTACAGGTATACATCAGAGTGGTGTAGTTGGCCTATTGATATTGCTACTTGTAATAATTAAGATAACTTCGTATGAATATTCTAAAGCTATATATTGCTTTACCAAATATAAACTATTTGTAGACTTCTAACCTTACCTGTTGGTTTTAGTTAAAAAAACTAATTAAATCATGTACTATCTACAAATTCACTGCGCGTATCTTTCATATTAACATTTTAGGGACGAAGCTCTTAAAGCCGTGGGTTTGTCCTATTGTGACCAGTTCGCGACCGCCTAGTTTATGGATGACTCAGCAGGGGCGCTAGTGCGAGTGACAGACGGAAAGATGGACGTATGGACGGACAGATGAACGAACGGATCCATAGATCCATCATAGAATTTTCAGACCAGGGTCTGGAGTGCAGAAGGTTTGATATACATGACATCTGTTAAGTTTGAATATTTTACGCTACTAAAACTACTACTTTTACTTGCAACTTACCAACCCCTACCATCTGCACCACCTGTGACCCGTGCTGCACTCATCGCCCGGCTGCTCGTGGTGCGAGCACGAACGGGCCGATATGGCATATGTAATTTGGCAATGCTCCAAAAACGATGATAGGCCACAAGAGAGGGTGACGCCAACTGAAGGACCTTCCGAAATGGGGCGCCTTGATTGGCAACGGCTAGCCGCTCTTCTCAGCGTGGCCCTCGAATACCATGTGTGTGCCATCCACCGGGCCAGGGCCGTCACTGAGGACCTCGGAAGATGTTCCTAGAACGATGTATCTCTGGCAGCCTAGCACCGGGCGCAGCAACAACCGTTGGACAAATAAAGCTCATTCGACTCAACCGAACTTGTAAGGAGCTATATACTGCGTGAGCTTCGCGCTTTCATGCACGACTGTTTGCCAAGGTGGCATGGCGGTCCCAATGGCCGATTGCTGACTCGCAGGTCGCGGGTTTGATCCCAGCAACAGCTGTCGCATTGCAGTGGAAGCGATATGGTGGAGGCCCGCACACTGTGCAATGTCTGTGAGCCTCTACTGCGGCAGCATTATTTGGTACATCGCGAGATTGACGAAGACGGAAGGGACGCAGATGAGCGCTATGTCTTTTTTTTTTATACTAGCCCAACATTCAATACTATTTGACGACGGCGTCTCTCGTAACCATGTCCTCCTCAGACCCGAGCGAAATCGTCCAAACAGAGGTAAAATCAAAACACGTCTAGGGAATGCACAAGCATATCCTATACAATAAACAGTTGTATCGGGCTGCTTATAGGCGTCCCTGAATTGCAACATAGGGACCTAAAGAAACAAAATAGGCAGCGTATTAACACTTCCCTCCAGCAGCGTAAAATGACTGTTGTCCCTTGTATTCATGATGTGGCACACAATCTTAAAAGATTGGAAATAAGGTGGGCGCCCGAGTGGTCAAGTCTGCTCCAGAGAAACTGTCAAAAATATGTCACAAAACTTGTCCTGTTTCGAAAGAAAATAAAGGTTGCCAAATGAAGCATAACAATAAGTATGTTGGGTGTTCCCGGTCGGTTGTTTACAGAGTACCCTTGCATGTGGTCTTGTTTGAGTGGGAACAACTCAAAGATGCATAAATGAGAGGTCAAAAGAGCACCACAATAAAGTGCAAAATGGTACCGATGATCACTTGGCGATCTACTGTAAAGAGTGCGGCTGTATGCCGTATTTTGATAACACTTGCGTGTTATATCGTATCGAGACAGAGATTTATTAACCCTTTTGATTGTAGAAGCAGTGAAAATGACACGTGATGATTTTGAGCGTGTTAGTGCACCTTCTATCTCACTCACGCGGAAAGACCTTTGTTTTTTGGATGGAGTGACATAAAATAACACATAAGTAATGTACGGGACTTGCACGTGGACTTTTTGTTTGTCTGCCTTTTATTATTATTTTTTCCCTTTCGCCCCCTTTATAAACTCTGACGTTTGCAATAAACGTTTAGTTGAAGTTAAGCTCTTGTGTTGTGCGTTCTGTGTAACAGTTGCTGCGCTTCCTACCAAGATACCTTATATACCACCAGTAAAAAAGTGCGACTGTATGGCAAACATATTTTGTACACTCGTATGTGCCTCAAATGCACACTGGGCCTCAATGCGCAGGTGAAGAACAACACTGACCTTAAAATAGAATTTCCCATTTGCTCACGAAAAGCACTTTTATTGCTTTGCAGATGGGATGCAAAGGAAGATGTTCTACGTGGTGCACCAGAACTTTGTTTGCTGAGGGCATCCTGAGTTTCGCTGAAGAAAGTCTGGATTTCGGTTAACAACTTTCGTTAATGCATGCGGCATACGTGCGCAGTTTTTGGCTCAGGATGCACCTTGGCTCTCAGCCGCTTCCGTGGTGGCTCACTGTGAAAATCTGCACCACACCTATCTTTTAGGATAGCCTCATAGTCGGACAATGAAAGCTCCGAAGGGTCCTTGCCGGTTAATGCCCCCAGTACACATTCCGTTTCTTTATCACATATTCTTAGAAGAAGCAAACACCGAAGCCTGATGCCAAGGAGAATACTAACCGCAAGTGACTGGCAAACGTACACGCGCAAATGCACCTATTGACACCAAATGTGTTTTATAATGAACATTTGAAGAAAATAGCTTGCTTTAACGAAAATACTCGTCGTTAGGGTTAGAAGACAAGCGGTAATCACTCCTAAACACTTCCAAGCAGATCGAAACAGCAGTTGAAAATTATGACTGGATCGATAATAATTTCAGACTTACTGAGACGCCATCAGTACAACGTCGACGTCATGAATTCCGCCATGTTTAAAACCGAGAAAACATGCCATCTACTGTAGACTGTTTCTCGTCCTGCTCACCAGATGGCACCAAATGATAGGGAATGTGATTGAACGATGAATGGCGCCTCTAACAGTTATTAGTAGCGCAACTATGGAAAGCCAGTCATTTAAATGCATGCCCGGTCTGAAGAGAATATCGTGAATTTGGGGTGTAAAACACTAAATATTATTATTACTGTTATTATCCATTTAAGACACTTTTGAACAAAAATTACTATTTCGGCCACCGCGCCTCCTGCAGGCTGACGCGGCCTTCTACATCGACGTGACGAAGATGATCATCGCAGCCGTTAACAAAGAGAGAGCAAGTGGCAGGCTTCCCGACCTGGAGTACCCTACGTGCGCTGACGCGAAGCTTACTAGCTCCATGATTGAGTCCCGCAAGAGCATCACCCTCAGAAAGACAATGATGCAGGTACGTAATGTGGTTCCCATTGCGGGCGTATATTGCATACACCGCATTTTCTTTCGAATATGGGCCGCCCTCTATTTTCCGGATAGGTTACTCATAATTAGCTATCGAGCTACATTCATGACCAATGAAGGTCGGTGACCTGAATTCGTCGGCTAATGTTTCGAAATAATGAAGTGCCCTGATCGCGTACGTCGTATTTCAAGGTGCGCTAAGTTCCATGCTCATTTTTCTCTTTTAAATACGAAGAATTTCTTAGCGAGAGAGAGAGAGAGAGAGAACTTTATTTGCGCATAACGTTGGAGCATTCCAAATGGTCGGGCCCCTATTCCAGGGCTCCGCTGGCCCTAGCCATCATATCTACCCGTTGGACCAGCCAGCGCTGATCACCAATGACCGAGCTGGACAGCAGTGCCTCCCATTGTTCCTATGTGTTGTTCATGTTGTGGTGTTCTTCATTGTGATGTGTACACTCCTATGTGATGTGAAACAGTTGGTGTGGCCCCACACCACGGACATATATCTCTGTATGCTGTAGGGTAGAATACATGTAGCCTGTGTATGTTCGTGTATGTGTTTGTTTGGATTCTACGTAATGCCACCGATTCCATTGCTGTGAGGTTCTTATGCGGTGCTGGATACAGTTTTCTATTGTCCCTGTATTACTAAAGAAGTGTACCAAAGTTAGGGTCTAGGGGCGTTGGATCCTCTATTGCAGTATGCAAGGAAGCTCGGTGATTTGTGAAGCCTCGAGCCGCCTCATCCGCAAACTGGTTCCCGGTGACGCCCTCGTGCCCTGGTGGCCAGACAATTGTTTCGGTGTATTCAATTGAAAAGTCTTTATGAGCTTTGGTTAGAATTTGGAAGGCCTTCATATAGATTCTACCTTTTTCGTAATTTCTTCATGCAGCCTTCGAATCCGTGATTATTGTCAGTGGGGATTTTCGCTCCCTGCCCTCCTTGATTGCCAGCGTGATCGCCATCTCCTCCGCTTCTGTCATGGAGGCTTGGGCTATGGAGGCAAACTTGAAGTTTCCTTTTATGTCTATGACCACGGCCACCATGTTCTTTGCATTTGCCTGATATGGTGCAGCGTCTGTAAATCTCGCCGTATTAAAATATTTTGTCTTTTTATCTGTGTAAGTGACTCTTGCTTTACGGCTTTCAGCATGTAGAACTGGGTAAATGTTCTTCAGTAGAGGGCATATCTTGTACCAGCTCTGACTGAGCATGACAATTCCTTTGCTCTTCTATGTGCTTGTACTTGTTCACCAAGGCCGATCCTCTGAAGTGTTCTGCCGGTTGGCATCTGTAGCAGGCGATCAATCTGGGTGGCTACTTGCGCTTCAGCCAACTCATCAATTGTATTCTAAAGTCCGAGCGCTAATAGCTTCGCAGTTGAAGTGCTTTGTGGTAGTCGCAGAGCAGCTTTATACGCCATCCTTATTATTTTGTCAGCGTTTTTCTTTTTCCTCTCTATTCATGTTGTGGTAGGGTAGTGAGCATGTTAGTTTGCTGATGAATAAGCTCTTTACCAAACGAAGCGCGTCTTGCTCTTTCAGGCCAGCATGATTCTTCGTTATTCGAACAATCATACGAAGAATTTGTTGAGCTGTTTGTTTAAGCATATTCAGTGTGTGGATACATCGCTGATTGGACTGTAACCACATCCCTAAGATTCGAATGGTTGTTTTCTCTGGAATAATATTGCCGTCTAGCTTGACCTCAAGGCGGAGGCTCGGGTCTGTCGTTTTTTTTTTTACTCTTGGAGAACCGAATGAGTTTCGATTTATTTGCTAAGCACTGAAGTACCCTTTCTTTAGAGTACTCTTCAATGGATTTAGCTGCCAGTTGGAGCCGCCTCTTCTTTTTCTGCCAAGCTACCCTTGGTTGTCCATATAGTGATGTCATCCCCATAGAAAAAGTGTCGGATATGTCGGGAATATCTTCGAGTTTTTTGGCTAGACCAATTATGCCTATGTTGAAAGCGTAGGCGAGATCACAGCGCCTTGTGCTGTGCCTTTGCTCGGTGGGTGGAAGACTTTGGATTCGTCTTCTCCTACTTTGATGACAGCGGTTCTTTTAGTAAGGAAGTTCTATACATATTGGTATACGCCTTCGACCACAGTTTGTCGGTAATAGCTTATCTAATATGGCTTTATGACTTACGTTGTCGAAAGCGCCTTTTATGTCGGTGGTCATGACAATGTTCTCTCCTGCTCTTGGAGCATTTGTTTGTACTTCCTCCTTTAAAAGCAAGAGGATGCCCCGTGTCGAGAGGTTTGAGCGGAAACCAAACATGGTGTTTGCCAACAAGCTATTTTGTTGCAGATGCCGTTGAAGTGTGGTATTTAATAATCTCATAAACACTTTGCCTAAGCACGAGTTAAGAGAGATTAGCCTGAGGTTTTCTGTTGCCAATTTCTTTCCTGGTTCGGGTATCATAATTATTACAGCATGCTTAAATTGCTGAGGTATAATGCTATTTACCCAGTGTTTGTTAATGAAGTTTAGAAGCGCTGTTATGGCTTCGTCATTCATGTTGCGAATCATGGCATTGATGATTTGATCCGCCCCAGGTGCTGTGTTGCGTTTCGTGCTGACGATTGCCGCTCTGACCTCGGCATGCGTGAAAGGTGCATCCAGTTCTGAGTTTGGGAGCCCAGTGTATTTAGCCTGGTGAGGGGCTGTGATAGTTCGGGTGCTGATGCACTTAATATAAATGTCTTGAAGGAGGTCGTCTCGTGTGCCTATAAATATGTGTGCAATAATCTTTCTAGAGATTTTTGTCCTTCGCACATCGTTTTCAAAGGGATAGTTTTCATAGCTCTGAAGACATTCCATGTCTTTGCTGTTCCTAGGGTTCCATTTAGCGAATCGCAAAATTGTTCCCAGTTGGCTGTCACGAGTTGATTAGCATACTGTTCAATTTGCTGCGTTATTTCTTTGTATTTCGCTCTGAGCTTCTTATTTAGATAACACCTTTTCCATCGTTTAGTGAGGTTCCTTCTTGCTTCCACAGGTGGAAAAGGTGAGCGTCTACTTCAGGGGTGTCGTCCGTTCTAGCGACAGTTTTGGTGTGCATTTGCTTTTCATTTCGAATTACTTTGCGCCACTCGTCCAAGTCGTCTATGGCAGTCACGTCCACATTTAGTAATTTTCTATATGCATGCCAGTCTGTTATTTTAGCTGTGCCGATGTGTTTGCGGATTCGGCCGGTGCGGATTGTGGTGCCTAATATGTAATCATCACTGCCCAGGTTTTCAAGGGTGTTGTACCAGTCCACGCTGGGCATTTTTTTTTTACTATCGTCAAGTCCGGACTTGTGTCCATGGATACGCCGTTGCCTGTTCTCGTTGGTATTGCAGGGTCAGTTAACAGCGTCATTCCCCATTTCTCTATTTGTCTTGAGAAATTCTTGCCTTTGGTGTCTTCCATCTTATATCCCCATCTTGCAAGCCTGGCATTAAAGTCCCCAACTGTCATTAATGGATTCCCTTTCGCCAGTTTTGCTCTCTCTTGAAAGAGCTTAGCATATCTATCTATCTATCTATCTATCTATCTATCTATCTATCTATCTATCTATCTATCTATCTATCTATCTATCTATCTATCCATCTATCTATCTAGCTGTCTACGACTTATGTCTTAGCTCTCCTGGCCGTTTCGATAATGGTATCGATACCAAACTTGGTATGGCATAAAATGATTATCTTGAGAACATATTTAACTAGTCATAACATGAAAATCATGACATGTATGTCATGAATTCCATTTCGTGGTTCTGCAGCTTTGTGGTGTTTTCGTTCACATTACATGTTGCAAAACTGGTATGGTATGGCATGATTGCATGGCGAACACAAGCGACAGACCCTATCACAAAAATCATGACATGCTTGTCATGTAACAACATCACTACATGCCACGCTCATGAAGCGCTCGCGGCCGTTTCGCTAGCGTCATGTATACCAATTTCGGCCTTACAGTACGTGAATGGATGACGAAGGTATGTGACTGGTAGAAACATGGTAATCGTGAGATGCGTGTCACGTAACGACATGACAACATGCCACGCTCATGGTGCGCTGGTGGCCATTTCTGTGGCTTCGCGTGTACCAAACGCGGTGTTATGCGACGCGAACGGAGGACATAGGTAGATGACACATCCAAACATGATAATCACGACATGTGTGTCATGTAACAACCTGACTACATGCCACACTGATGATGCGCTTGCAGCCGTTTCACTAGCTTCACGTATGCCAAATTTGGTATTGTGTACGTGACGCCAATAGATGACGGAGGTATGTGACTGGTGCGAACACGATAATCATGAGATGCGCGTCATGTGAGAACATGACTACATGCCTCAGTGAAGACGTCAATACATTTCGACGTCACGCGGTCTCCGTGTTTGCAGGCGTTCATTTTCGTCACGTCACGCCGGCGTTTCCACGCCAGGCGCCGGTCCTGCCATATACTCGCAGGCACGCACCACGCCGCGCTGCGTTGCTTTGACGCATGCGCGTTTCAGCCCGTCCGGCGTCCCTCCGTCACGAAAAGCGGGAGACGCAGTGTTGTCTGGGTAGCGCATCGGCACGAAATGCAGCGTGTCGCAGTTCACACCTTTTGCCGTCGGCACCCGCCAACGGACGCTGGTCGCGCCTGGCGTCAGACTATTAGATTGCTCGCGTTTTGCTAACGTAGCGTCGCCGCCCATGGAGCACGCGCGTTCGTCAACACTACATTGGAGCATATTGGGCTTTTCATAATGCGCTCACGGCCGTTTTGCTAGCTCCACACATACCAAATGCGGTGTTACGTGATGCCAATGGAGGACTAAATATATGACTGGTGCAAACATGATAATCCTGACACGCGTGTCATGTAAGAGCATGACAACATACCACGCTCATAGCGTGCTCGCGGCCGTTTCGCTAGCTCCCCATATACTAAATTTGGTATCACGTGACCTGAGTAGATGACGAAGGTAAGCGACACCTTGAAACACGATAATCATGACACGGAAGTCTTGTACAGCATCATTTATGTGCGCCTCCTAACGTTGCACTGATTGTAAAGTGACGTATGAACATTTCTTATTCGTGCTTCGCATATCATCAATTCCCGTCGTACGTGCGATCTGCCAATTTTCTTTGTACTTTTTTGTGTAATATGTTTGGGTTGTTTCAGATGGATCAGGGGGGACCATTCGGACCCATCGTCATACCGGAAAAAGGAAATGGGTACCAAAAAATTAGCATGGTTCTGAAGAGATACACTCCCACAGGGAGGCCAGCAGCAATGTTCTACCTCGGTGTAAGCTTCACAAAAGCATCTTTCATGTCATTTTGTTGTTGTTTTTACTTGCCACTCACAGACCTCACTGTCACATTTCCCAATTTATATACAATAGGATGAAGTGTGAAAGCTCCACTAACGAGACCTGGAGGGTCCAGGTTAAACGGCTAGGTCAAGCTAAATGATCTGCCCCCCACACTTATTTCATCCTAAATGGGAACATCTGAAGCGGCACTGCGTAGCATAAAAAATCACGTGGTCCATTAAGGTTGCCTAACTGACTCGAACGCCAAATGCTTCTTTTTATTTTATTCAATTTTGTGCTTTTTCAGTGTACTGAATGATAAGATGCCCTACATACCTAGTTTCAGTCCCCCACGGCTTGTAGATAGGGTGTTTCAGTTCCACTAATGTCATCGGCTACTCATTGGGCTAACTGCCTTCTTCATTTTCGGTGGACCGGTGGCTAGTAGGGGGATTTAACCATTACTTGTGGCACAGCTGGCACACACCCGTTGTTAAGATGGACCGTGGTTTCACAACTCACCGTGATGACATTAGGCACCGACAAGCCGAGACCCTGAAGTGCTGATCCCGTCGTGCTTGCGTCACAAACTTCGAGCACGTTTCACCGTGATGTCTTGATAGGATGAGATCATTTCGTGAAGTTAAGATTGTGCTGGAGCGCGACTACGTGAATCACCGGCACTTCCGGAAACGCCGACATGCCGAGCCTACTAGGTGCTTCGCACCTAATACCCCAGACTGCACTCACGTCGAGCTTTTAGTACGCCTACTAGAAACCTAACGTGCAGTGTGGCATGTTCCGCTTATAACTAGTGGACTTTTTTGTTGAGTCACCATTTGTTGAGGTACGCCGGGTCACCACTTGTTGAGGTAGCGAGACGGTGGCGATGAGCCAGTGCCGAGGCCACAGCTTTATTTGGGACGCAGGCGTAGGCGGAGTCCCAGCTGCAGCGTCCAGCCAGGCCAGGAACTCAGCCATTCTTTGTATCACGTGGCTTGCACCTCACGAGCTACGTGGCTCACTTCTTTTTTTTTTTTTTTTGCTCGGCCGGCTGGCCAATACTGGCGTGGCGCTACAACTTCTTTAGGAGGTTGCTCGCCAAGCTTCGTATGATCGCACCTTGTCCATCATGCCATACCTGCAAGTTCTAATTGCTCTCGCTAGAGGCGCGTCTGTGCTCTCTCCGTAGGTTTAAGCACGCTCAATAGATGGCGCGCCGCCGATCCGGCATCTAGGGTGCCTCAATATGCGTGCGCCTCCATTCGAGGCGTCCTACAGGTGGCGCCGCACACATCCGCTGCACACACGGTGCTTTCTCCGGTCAGATTAGCGACCGCAAGAGGGTCCCGTCCATGTACACCACTTGCTCTCTCTTGGTGCCCTCCTTTTCTCTTCTCGAACTTTCCATAGCATCCTATCATAGAATATCCCTTGGCCACGTACTTTACGGATCACAAAGCAAATAAAAACCTTCAAAGGAAAACGAGTCACAGAGCTTATCGAGAGATGCCCTTGTTGTAATTCGTAAAGATCTATGTAATCTTGTGTGTATATTGTGTATATAAGCCACGAAAATGTAAATCCCATATATGTTTTATCAAAATGCAAAGGTATGCATATAGTGCATCAAAACGTAATAAAACAAACACTGTGCATATATATATAACAACGTATTGACGTCCTTATATGACCACTGAGGAAATTGTACGACTTACATGATCATTTCCGATCAAGATCCTCTAACATCATCCACTTCGTGGATATTTCTTCGCCGTGTCAGTTGCATATTTTTCCAAACGCTTGTCGCGTTCTTTCAGCTTAGTTGCACTTCTTCAGCAAATATGTTAATCCTAGGGGCGATCACGTTCGTCAATAGCTCGTTCGTCAATGACATTTAATATTTGGGTCTTATAGTAATTGGTAGGATGGAACAAGGAACGTTAATCATGCTCTGCCTAACATGTTTTCATCCGAATACTACTCTGTAGAAAGTGACAGAAAGCAAATAAATGTTTTTATTAATATTTTCATATATTTTTGTGGTACAACAGAATTTAAAGAATTGTCTCCACTCTCCTTCGCACTTTAGTGTAACTTTTATTATAATCAAAGCATTTCGAATAATGAAAAAAAAACGCCATTCACTTTCCGGTTCTCTTGGGGTAATCTTGTGATTATTATTCGCTTGTTATCTCGGTAGCGGAGGGTGTCGGCATTCAACAATAAGGGTGGGCCTAAGAAATTCAAGATGGAAGCCTGTTTGCATGCCTCATAAAACGCTACAATTGAGCGTTGGCGTTAGCGCCATACGCCCAGGCGGCATCCCGCTGTGTTTGCGTCAACAGGTGGGCCTCGAAAATCATCATCACGTGATCACGTCGTAACATGACATTATCGTGACGTTGCCAAGGTTGAAGCTTAGGCTAACTCTTTGTCCTCACGATGCTACATCTCGCCAACATTCGTGACATTGCGATGGTGCCATCATCCTCATTTCTTGATCGAAAAGGGGGGGGGGGGTGATCACGGAGGCTGTGCAAATAATTCTTCACCTAATGTGCAGAAATATCAATATCAGGTGCATAAATATTTCGAAGGAGCGCGAGGGAGTAACAGTACATCCACTCATAAAAAAAATAAAAAGACGGCTTCGACCTTCCAGTATTCTTGAGCGAACGCATAAGGAGCCCAACGAATGTTTTCTTTGCTCGTGAGCCGTATAGGACTTTCTCCTGAACAACGGTAAACCAGGCACCTAAATGAAGTATCGGCGTGCTTTAGAAATCCCTCGATCATGTTCTATTTTATGTTTATCGTATCAACCTCATTTCCAGCTTGGATACTGGTTATACGACCAACCTGACGGGTACCTGAAGGAAACACCCGGAGGAGATATGAAGATGTACGCTGCGGTCAAGATGTTGCGGGTCACCACTGTCGCCGTGAGTACAGTCGAACTCACTTATGTTGAAGTGGAGCGAAAATTTCGTCTTATAACCGATAATTGCTATGAACGGGTTCCACGAAAAAAAATATAGAGGGATGGCAGGCTTAGAGAAAAACTGTATAACAGATGAGATATGCCAACAGACATCAGTGATAAGGATGACAAGGCTTTAGATGTTTCGGAGATGCTTGAAAATGTCGACGCTTTCCCGGGACCTCCACAAAACACACAGACCATGCCTGAAGTTTCAGATGCTGAAACACTTTCAAGCCTAAACTTTATACTCAAATTGCATGTCCGAAAGTGTACCAACAGAAGTCAACGCCGCCCGCGCTGCAGCAGACTTCAAAAATCAGCTTTGCCACCACGCCGAAACGCAATGTGGTAGACACCAGAACTCGGCAAGCTCAGAGCATGCTGCCTTTTTGAATAGGGAGCCTACATGAACGGCCGTTCATGTAGGCTCCCTATTTTTGAAAAGCGCGTCCCGCCATCTGGCGAAGTAGCATCCTCCACAGGATGGCCACCCGATCCAGGCGGCCATGCTACGCTGTCACGGCAGCAGACGCTCCGCAAATCAAGCACGAAACTTCACAACCCGAGCCCGGCTGTAAGCATGTTTCGCGCTCTTCCTGTCACGAATTTTCGTGCTGACTTCTTGTGAAACTTAGAGAAGACTTTCCTTGACGGTCCTCAATGTCTACAGCGCGTGCATTGCAGACTAAGGAAGCCACTTCATCTGGTAGGTACTATCGTGACTGAAAGCAACGTGAACAGCGGAAAGCGTTGGTTTTAACCCGGTAAAACTGCGGTGTGCCTGGGTTGTGGGTATGCAATTCTACCCACAGGGCAATTCTACCAACAGGCAATTCTGTACTCACAGAGCTGTGGGGTAGGCGGTATTCCGGCGTCAAAGTAGCGCTAGAATCTCGCTCCGGCTTGCGCTCATGCAGCGCGTGTGTTTATTACTTGCCAGTAATGTGCCACGCAGTTGGCACACACACGTGGTGCGAAAGTCCCAACTTGAGCAATATTTCATAAAGCTATGGTGACGACAGCTGAAAGCACAGATTCGTTTAGCGACAGTCAAGGCACACCGCCGTTCTACTGCCTAGGCGTGATCTCCACGCCAAGCGTGTCTCTTTGCATCGCAGTAGCGTGCCGTTACGATTGTACTAAACGGGCATGGTGCGTGCATCCACGCGTGAGTCGTTATATATCCTATTAGTGGTATGTCGCCTGCGAAAGAGTACGGCAATGATTTGGTGCCGCATACTACAGATATACTGCATGCAAATCGCTCCTGTAAAGAGGAACGCTTGGCGTCGCGCTTGAATAAACGCAATAAGTATATTTACTCGTACACTTTTCCTGGGCTTTTAGTTTTTTTTTTCTGCTGGTCGCGATGATCCACTTGTGACGAAGCTCGGCGTTTTTCCTTCCGTATTGAAACGAGTGCAATCCGAGAACACCGCACCAGCACGATTGCAGCGTCGTGTTGTAATCTTCACAGACAGTGCTGAGTGATGTCTTACTCTTGCGCTGGTTGGCTTTCGATCCAAAATGGCGCAGTGGTGCCCAGACGACATCTTGTAGGTGGTAGCGTTTTTAATATACGCTTCCTCGCGCTTTGAGGTTCCAGAGAGTCCACTTGCCGTGTTAACTTGTTGCCACGGATACACGCTATGGCAGTTCAGGCGTCTTGCAATTGGTGCGAAAGTAAGCGCCAGCAGCCTAAGCGCCTGGGTACGAGATAGGCGTCTATAATATATTGTGAATTCGAAGAGTCCCTGGGGGATGATGAAATGATGGGAGGGGCTTCAGTAGCCTGAATTTCTCCTTTTCCTTTTTTTTCCTTCAAAGATTTCGCATTTTAATGCCTTTAGGCACGGGCACCCAACAGCCAGAATTCATTCATTGATAATGCGGCGTGTGAACATTGTTGTACACAGATTATTTCGCTACAGCACCTTTTCATTGTTATAAACAATATAATATTAAAACTGGAATCTTTATAAGGAGGCTCGAGTTCATTTCAAAATTGCAGGTAGCTAAGTACTAGTACTACCAAGCCTGAAGAAACATATCAGCTATAGGCTTCTTTCTTTAGACTACTAGCCAAGCTTAGCATGTAGAGATGGCCATTTAAGCCTAAAGATAGCCAGGTGAGCCTATATGTAGTAACAAGAGCATACAAGGTGGCAGGTAAGCCTGGAAGATCCATGTTTAGGTTCTCTGGCTCACTTTATTATAGCAGAGCTAATATTGTCCAACATTGCCGCATATCTATTATGAGCCGGACGCTCAATGTCCAGGCAGACACTCAGTTTACAGATTGAATAGAGAAGCTGATACATTAACAAGGTGCTTGATTGGGCTGGTTGGTGCTGCATGGTAGAGGAAGAAAGTGTTCAACAGCGCAAACGGCAGGAGGGGATAGAAGAGACGAGCGCTCTGTTCAGCGCTCTCTTCTCGTGTCTTCCATCCCCTCCTGTCGTTTGCGCTGTTAAGCACTTTCTTCGTCTACGAAGCTGATACATACATACATACATACATACATACATACATACATACATACATACATACATACATACATACATACATACATCATACATACATACATACATACATACATACATACATACATACATACATACATACATACATACATACATACATACAAACATACATACATACATACATACATACATACATACATACATACATACATACATACATACATACATACATACATACATACATACATACATACATACATACATACATACATACATACATACATACATACATACATACATGTAGTGTTCCTACTTAAAATAACGGAACAGCATTAAAGCTTCAGTATGGAACTGGCGTCCATCTTAATCTGCTTTATTTTTCACTTCATCCTCCTCTTCCTTCCTGCCCCGGCCCTCGCGCTTCTTCATCTTCTGTCCAAAGGCTCATACCGCTTCACCCTTCCCGCTTTCTTTTAATTACCCCTCCTGGGGTAATACTTGAAGACATTCCCAATTGAAGCACATTCAACAGATCCACGTTCACCAGTGTACCAGACAGTCTTCAAAATTCCGTTCTGGGTGGCTGTCTTGGTCACAGAGTAAGGCCCATAAAATTTGGCACTGGAATCTCTTATTCCTTTTCTCACTAGTACGAGGTCGGTGACTTGAATGTCTGGCATGTCTGCTCGATGCCTCTTGTCGAAATTCTTTTTCATTCGTTTTCGGTACCTCTCCTCCTGTGATTTTTGTTGCCTCTCCTCGACAATCTTGAGGTTTTCCAAGAGTCCCAACTCACGGTCTGCCTGCAGAATAGGGGTCTCTCCTGTAGAAGCGTACTGTGGACTGCACCCCAAGCCACTTGTGTAGGATCGGTTATGATGTTTTACGGCTGCTTCTAAAGAACATTTCCATCCCCCAGGAAAACTATCGTACATCTTGATGTATTGTTTCACGTCCCGTATGGCACGTTCTGCAAGCCCATTCGCCGCAGGATGGTATGGCGCACAGAACTTGATCGATACATTGTGATCTCGAGCCCATCTTACTAGCTTTTCACTCTTGAACGCGGGGCCGTTATCGCATACGATTGTCCGCGTAGTTCTAAACATGTCCCTTTCGAGAAGGGTTATGACGCTATTTGCATCTTCTTTTCCTGCTCGTGCCGCGACCATCCTGGTGCATTCATCTATGGCCAGCAGAAAAGCTTGCGTTTTTCTGACTCCTTCCCGTTTCTTGTTAAGTTCGGCGAAATCCAGGTGAACTACTTCAAAAGGCACGTTCGAGTGGCAAGGTAGTATCATGGTGTCCGTAGGCTGTTTATACTTGACTTTGTGTACTTGACACACATGGCATGAACGAACGTACTGACTAACGTCTTTCTTCATGTGAGGCCACGTAAACCTCTTGACCAACTTGTTGTAGGTACGCCAAAAGCCGTCGTGTGGTGGCGGTGGTGGTGATGACGGCGGTGGAGCCGTCGGTGCCGAGTGTCCTGGTTCTTCTGGTGAAATAGGCTCCTTCTCAGTGCTTTGCACGCTCTCCAATGAGTCTCCGCCGCTGCTCGCCTCGTTCTCGCGTCGATTACGGGCCCCGGCCTTCTTGGATGGTGACTTCGTTCTGCGTCGGTGGGACCTTGGGTGTCGGTACATCGGAGGAGGTCGTTGCCACGAAGGGGCACTCCCTCTGTCCTGGAAGTCCTCCTGGCTCCTGTTGCCACTTCCGCCGTTACCTCCCCGTACTCCTTCTTCGAGATTTCTTCCGGAGCTGTTCCGTCCTGTCATTTCCAGGTTGCTCTGAAAACGGCCACCACCAGAGCCGTTTTGTCCTACTGCTTCCATGTTGCTTCGCGAGCGGCCACGTCGCCGACGAAAGTAGCGGCCACGGAACCGCCGTGGAGGGCGCCGGGGTGGGGGTTCGTTGAAAACCTCCTCTTCGGCGTACGCTGGCCGTGGCTCATCGACAATGAAACGCTGCGGTGGAAGCGGTGGCGGTGGTGGGGCTCGCGGAGGTGCTCGTGGCACTCCTCTGAAACGCTGGTTGTATCGCCAAGGGTAGGGCCTCCCCACGCCGTCCATGATCCACCGTCTAGGAGCCGGGTCGCTCTGGTCCTGGTGCGGTGGCAGTGACCGCGATGAGTCTCGGTTTCCTGCTTCCTCCCTTCGATCTTCCCCTCGGCCACGCCTTGACGCCGGCCCGCGCCTTCGTTGATTGCGACGTGGAATCCAGCGGGGTCGGAACGGGCGCCTGTCGGCCGCGTACGGGCTACCCTGAACAGGCTCACCATCGGGTCCGGTCACATTGGCTGCCTCGCAGCCCTTATCGCCGACCACGACGTCAAACTCGACGGTCTCACCTTCGCCAACGCTGCGCAGCAACTTCTGTGGGTTGTTGCGCGTGATGGCCGTCTGGTGGACGAAGATGTCCTCGTGAGTGTCGTTGCGGTTGATGAAGCCATAGCCGTTCTTGACATTAAACCACTTCACCGTTCCCAGGATCCTCTCGGCGACGATAGGCTTCTTCCTGCCACTGAAACGACTCTCTTCGCCCATTGCCAAGTTGGCGGTTATCTTCGGAAGGGGCCGGGTGCCGGTCACAGCTGCTGGAAGCCCGCCTGGATGCGTGATGCGCTTCTGGTGGCTTGACCAGTCCGATTTACTCCGACTGAAACAGCTGCTTGACTCGGCGGTTATGCTTGTTTCCGAAGCTGATGGTATGTTCTGAAGACACGCGAGGAGGTCATCTAGAGTCTTTGGTGACAGTATTTGCACTTGCTTCAACACGTTAGTGTGCAATCCATGCATTATTAAGGCAACTACGGCCGTAGATGGAAGCAAAGGCTCCGCCAGCTTTAAAAGACGGCGTTTCTCAAAGAAGTACTCGACAAGGCAGCTTTGCTCAGACTTGAAATTAAGCGCCGTGTTCCATCTTTCTACTGGATTGCTTCGGAATGCAGTCAAAAACTTTTTCCTCCACTGGCTCCAAGAGTCGTCACTGTCTTCCAGAATGCATGTTTCATACCACTTTCGCGCAACACCTCTCAAGTAAACGCGCATGTTGGTGATTTTAGCCTCATCAGAGAGCCACTTGTTTTTTCCAGCGGCATATTCGTAGAAATCAAGCCAACTTTCTGGATTTGAAGACACACCGTCGAAAGCATCAGGTTCTACGAAATTAGGTGTCGGTCTCTCAGCATTCAGAGAGCTTATAAGAGATGTCATTATTTGGTTTTGTTGAAGCATCTGTTCCTGTTGCAGCTGAAAAGCTTTCAAAACGAGGCTCACCTCTTCCGTCGAAGATCGTGATCCTGAGTGTTTTCGACGCGCTGGTTCAAGAACTAGGTCGTTGAAGGTCGCCACACGCAAGTTCACTTTCACAGCACCTTTCCGTCGTAGTTCAGTAGTGTCTACGGCTGCCTTTTCCACAACCAGGTTTACGAGTTCTTCCGAGCTGAGCTCACGAGGTAGGTCTACCGCTGCTTCGTCTTGAACTTGGTACTTCGAAAAGATGATCTCCTCGGAGGTCTCGTCTATGAAGAACGTCACCCACATGATGGCTTCGATGGCCGGCTGCGCCAAAATAATGTAGTGTTCCTACTTAAAATAACGGAACAGCATTAAAGCTTCAGTATGGAACTGGCGTCCATCTTAATCTGCTTTATTTTTCACTTCATCCTCCTCTTCCTTCCTGCCCCGGCCCTCGCGCTTCTTCATCTTCTGTCCAAAGGCTCATACCGCTTCAATACATACATACATACATACATACATACATACATACATACATACATACATAAAAGAGAGATGATAGAGAAACTCCACCCCACTCAGCTTGTCAACCCTGCTTCGTTCCCAGCAACCACCGTTCGTAATCCTGAAGAACACCAGCGACGGGGAGATCCAATTCGAGGGATACTGCATCGACATGCTCGACGAAATCAAGAAGATTCTCAATTTTGAGTACTCAATCTACGAAGCACCAGACAACACATTCGGTTCCCTCAACAACTACACAAAAGAATGGAACGGGATGATCCGGGAGCTAATCGACAAGGTAAGCCAAAGCGACGAGCGCTAAGGCTCGTTCGCACCAACGATTTAAGCCCAAACTCCATAAGCGCGAAAATGCACGCGACGAGCGACGCTATGAGCGACGAAACAGGGCGTTCGCGCGACGTGTCGCGTGCTCGTTTTCGCGCGATCGCTCGGTTCTCCAGATTTGGAAACCGTCGCTCATCGCCCGGAAGTGCTGGGCTCAAGCAGCCAACAGCGAAAAACCGGAAAAGACGAAGACTACATAGGTGCACGTGACCCTGCCCGAGTCACGTATGCGCAACAAGAAATAACGCAATGTTTATTAAGCATGCGCATATGAAAAATGCTGCAAGGCAATAATAAACACTTTCCGTTCCATTACACAACAATATATCTTATTTTTAAATTGGAAACCGCTCGCTACGCGGTTTTCTTGGTGCGAGTTGACGGCCTCATGCCAGCTACAGTGGAGTTCGCTCGCCGAAGCCGTCGCGTGAATGAGGTTTGCCTGCGCTAGCGACTGATCGCGCGACGCCGATCTACGTCGCGTCGCTCGTCGCTGTCACGTGCATTTTCGCGCTTATGGAGTTTGGGCTTCACACTGCTCGCGCGACCAAGTTAATCGCTAAGTGACAGGACGCAAATGGCCGCTTTGGTCGCAAAACGACGGTTCTGCCCTGTCGATCACTGCTTCCATTTTTTAGTCACACGACAGCAGCCGCAAAACCCTGAACCAATGACATGTTCAGGAACAGCAGGTTGTCAGCCTATTATACAAGGCAGTGGCAATGCGATCAGACGTGATATGTGTGGCGACACGCGTAGGTCCCTCGCACTTGGGAACATCGTTCGTGCAGGGCCGCTATTTGGTCGTCAGTCGCGAATGATTGCGCGATCGCTTTTAGTCGCAGGTATAAACGAGGTTTTCAGCTGCAGATTATCGTTCAACAGTGCGAGCGTCAAGCGATCTAGAACGATTCGGCGGAACATGGCATGCCCCCTATGTTCGTACTACCTGGCAAAGAAAATTAACGAGAAATTGAACAGAAAACGGCTTACTCCCTGATATTTTAGTACATATAGTGCTGTTTGCGTGGTCCCACACTGGCAAATGAAGTTGAGTTGGCGTTAATGCCACTCATAAATTAATGTATTCTCATGAACTCATTCGACTGATGAGTGCGCAGTCTCAATACAAAAGCTTGTTCAGTGCAGTACGTGGCCCCGCCGCGGTGGTCTAGTGGCTAAGGTACTCGGTTGCTGACCCATAGGTCGCGGGATCGAATTCCGCGGCTGCATTTCCGATGGAGGTGGAAATGTTGTAGGCCCGTGTGCTCAGATTTGGGTGCACGGTAAAGAACCCCAGGTGGTCGAAATTTCCGGAGCCCTACACTACGGCGTATCTCATAATCATATGGTGGTTTTGGGACGTTAAACCCCACATACCAATCATTCAATAAATCAATAAATCAAGCAGTCCAGTACGTATGAAGCACTTAAAAGGACGGCTATCTTGCCGAACATGTTTTATACCTAAATTTGGACAAATGACACTTTATTCGTTAGTAGCACTATAGCGAAATTCACTTCAAAATTGCAATGGCTTCGACATGACTGACGCCTCATCAGATTATACGCTACGGATTCGGCGTGAAATGAACGACCTTCTCAGATAGTCAAGTAGTCATGGTGCTTAATTGATGACCAACAGGTCGTGGGTCAGCAGTTAAATCCGGAACTTTCCGTGGAATAAATATAATATCTTCCTATGGTCGGTTGTAACGTTGTAAAAGGCAGCAATACACTTCAGCTAATGGCACCATAATATGCAGTCCTCTACGTTTCACGACCCATGAAGAGACGTATAGGTTTATCAAAATGCGTGTTCATGTTTATTATTACCCCAAACTGGCATGCTTTAAATGCGCTTATCAACAAATCAACAAGTCAAATTCTATAACTCAGACGTCGACAAGCACCGATGAAAAAAAAAATGGCACTGGGAAGCCTAGTGCCTGAACTACTCTGTTTTTTCTTTGACCAGTGTGTCGCGAGTATTATTGTTATACCAGACGACGGAGTCCATTTGCAGCTTCACAGATGCGCCACTGTCGCCTTAGTCATTGTGGGGCTCGCCCGCTGACGTGGAGGTCGCGGGATCGAATCCCGGCTGCCCTCGTCACGTTTCAAGGGAGGCAAACTGTAGGAGGCGTGTGTACTGCGCAATGTCAGTTCGAATTAGGAAGACCCTTGTGGTCGAAATAAACCGGAACCTTCTACTGTGGCCAAAGCATGAGTCAGTTTGGGATGTTCAATCCCTACTAGCCATCATAGTAAGTATTAATAAAGTTTAAGTAATTGCGTTATTTATGCAGTAATTTATTGTTTTTGCACGCCAGTAATTTAGCAGTCTAAGAAAATAATTGAAGCGAGTAATTTTCAGCAAACTGGTAACTGTTCTCCCATTTACTTTTCACATAATTATATCGCATGACCAATTTGCATTGAACATAGAATATTCAGCAAAAAAAAAGTCAATGAAGGTAGCAAGCAAACCAAACTGACCTCCGAACCTCAAGCGTGCGAAGTTGAACAGATATATCTGGTGTTGCATTGCATATATGCCCTACGTAATGTCATCATCAGTGAGGGCATGAATGGTGGAATTTTTTTCATTTGTTTTTATCACCAAAATTATTTTAACAAGGTGTCACTGCAGTATAATATGGTAGAAATGTAGGCAACAAAACAAAGCAATATAGAATGCATTGCTTCTTAAACTTACGAATATGTGTAAGTACATTAAGTCTGTTGGTTATACGAACAAATACACAGTTTAAAGTATTGCTAATACAAATGCAATGCTTATACAAACAATTAAACAAAACTCGGCAAAAATAATACAAACACCATAAAAAAGGTCATGTACGACCTTGTTAAAATAACTACGTTATTTCAACAAATTTCAAAAATGATATTAATGTAATGTTACTGCTTTGACCAATTGTATTGTAAGTTGATTACTTTTTGAATGTTTATTTATTTTTGTTTATTAATGTAGGCTACTTTGAGTGAGTGGGTTGTTTTGGGTAGTCAAAAAATATCGAACAGTTTTATGACCGAAGGAATAAAGTACTCTCCCGCAGCATTCATCCAATACACGCATCTCATTATAAAGAATAAAATGCAACTTCGTGAAGACCGACAACGCACGCATCTAACGTACTCTATTCACGAATCACAATATTCGTCAGTAGTGGATTTCTGCGTAATGATTAGTGATGTAACCTAATTACTTTTTAGGAGAACTCTATTTCCCTGTCGGGGTAATCAAGTGGTTATGACACTCGACTGCTAATCCGAAGGTTGCGGGATCGAATCCCAGCTGCGGCAGCTGCATTTTCGATGAATGCCAAAATGTTTGAGGCCTGTGTTCTCAGATTTAGGTGCACGTTGAAGAAGCCCTGGGGGTCGAAATTTCCCGAACCCTCCACTCGGGCGTCTCTCGTAATCATAACATGGTTTTGGGATGTTTAATCCCAGATATTGTTATTAGGTGAGCTCAGTTACTTTTTAAGAGTAACTTTACCATCACTCGTAACCTTGTTTTCCCGAGAGTTACCCTTGAACTATGAAAAATTAAAAGTCTGGTCTCCCATTTGCGCTGCAGAATGCTGACATTGCCCTGGGGCCACTTTCGGTGACGGCCGAGCGCGAGTTGGTGGTGGACTTCACCGTTCCCTACTACGACATGGTCGGCATCTCGATCCTCATGAAGAGACCCGCTGTGAAGTCGTCGCTTTTCAAGTTCCTCACCGTGCTCGAAGAGAGCGTCTGGGGGTGCATCCTGGCGGCCTACTTTTTCACAAGGTAATTTTTCGGCGCTCTCGAATTTCGCGCCAGTCTGCAACAAAGAATCACATCAACTGGATTCAGCCGTTTGAAAAAAGGAAGACAGCTTGAATGTTTACAATGGGTCACTCCAAAATGCTTGACACAGCGAAGCGTGGGCACGTTGGAACTCGTATACCACCCCTCAGTGACCCATTAGCATCAAGGGGCGCGGCTTGCTACCCGGGAATTAGCACTTTCTCGCGACGCCCCATGAGAGTCTGAACTCGATCGGGCATAGACAGGCTTTGCAGTGTATAGCGTAGGTTGCGCACGTCTCCTCTGTCGGTGGATGTGGTTTGCATTTTGTTACATCTTCGTTTTTCAACTTCTTTCACTCTTTTGTTGATGTTCTCTCTGTCTATCTTCTCACTCCATTTCTCTCTCTCTTTCTTAATCAATCTGCGCTAAGCATTACCCTTTCTCTTGCCCCGTTTCCTCCTCTTCACCACGTTCTTCCGGGTCACGTTCACTTCCGTTTCCCACCCATTGTTTCACCGTGATAATCAAAGCTATGCATCGCTCTGCTAGCGTGCCCGCGCATAGCCGAGTGGTCAGGACGGTCACCCTCAAATCGAGGGCGTGTGGGTTCGAATGCCGCTTTGTGAAGAATTTTTAGGGGCAAAAATGTTTTCTCTCTTTGTTTATATTTTTTTTCTGTCCGGCTCTCTGTTCGTTCGTTTGTTTGTTTTTCTATCTTTCTGCGTGCTCAACCTCTCACTCATCAGGGTTATTAGTACTTATTACATGGCCGCATTATATCAGTGAGTTCTGGGATTTCCCGTATTATGTGGCACTTAAATCAGTTCGTGATGATGATAGTTTCGTTCAAAAGGACATTTTATGGCTCACATAAACAGCTTTGCTGTAAAAAAAAAAGGTTGCAATACTGGTGCAAGACTGGAGCAAACAGCCGAGCTGGGGTGGCCTTCCTTCTTTCTTTGTTCTTTCTTCCATCTCTTTCTTTTTCTCTCGATCTATTCTTTTTTTCTTTTTTTTGACTTTGTTCTTCATAGTTCTTTCTGTCAGCGTATGTCTTCTTCCTTCTCGTTCTCGATCTTTCAATATTTCTTTTCTTTCTTCCCTTTCTCTCTATCTCATTCTCTCTCTCCCTGTGCTCGTTCTACCACCAATACGACTTCTTTCGTATCGCGCCTGAAAAGTTGGCGCAGGGGAAGAATGCGCTGGTCGTTCGCATTCACGTAACGTATATGACCAATGACGGCCCCATCATCATCGCACATCAAAGATACTCGTGACGTCACATCGCGTCACGTGGCGACGTCATCGCGAAGCGTCATTGCTTGGTGAAATTTGTGCCGATAGCGGCAATTAATTCTGAAACAAGTGATGTGCAGAAACCTTAAGCTTGACAGGAACTATGCAATTGATAGAGAACGTGAATGTAGCATAATGCATGTGTTTCAAGTTGCGGCTAGTTACGTCTTTCAAGAGGTTTAATTCGCAATTAGGTGACTCAATGATTTACCGTGTTTGTAGCAGGATTCGCAACGTAAGTATTACAGGGTATGACGTGGTGCCAAGGTTTCAAATATTTATTGTATTAATTAGGTAATGTAATTATTGATTGGTTGATTGATCTATTGATCTGCAATATCGGTTTAAAAGAAAATGCATAGTCATGTGTAATGCATGTAAACAGCAGCATAAAGTGCCGTAATATTTTATCGATGGGGAACATATTTTTTAGCCATCTGTTTTTTTTTTTTGTCGTTGTTGTTGACAAGCAGTGGCCCGTTAAGCAGAGTTGGAAGAGTTTTTTTTTTTTTGGGGGGGGGGGGGGGATTACGCATATCAAGCGTTATTGCTGTCAATTAGATGTCAATTATTAAGGAAATAACTGTCCTTCACTGTAAAGTAGCCAAGTCCTGGTCTACCTTTAAAAACACATGGCGAATTTAATTGCCCTTGATTGTTCAACTAAAAAGCGGACTGCTTGTCTAGTCAATCATTTTAGTGCCATATAGTTGAGAGCCTGATTCGCGAACCTTTTATTCAGTATTTTTTAGTGAGGAGTCTTTCGACATTAGTTGAATAAACACTGAAGATACCGTTGCTTGTAGTGCAGTGCGCACAGTCACGCTCATGATGATTATAACAAATGCTCGGTTATCATTCATATCTAGAAACAACTATAAGAGAGAAAGTTCGAAGAGTCAAATGACGAGAAAAATGGCTCATCAGCTTACGTTTGACAGGTTCATCAAATACAGCCGCAATGCTCTGCATGCCTATTTGCCATTACACAACCAATAGCCGGCTTCACAATGAAGTGCATTGATGCTACACTTTGCACTACTTTCAGCAGTACATCAGTTAATGTAAAATGTCATAGTTATTACGCGATGCCCGTCACTGCGGTTCGTAGTTCTCATTTAAACACTTCTTTGTATACTACAAATAGCGGACATTTACTTTCAAGCTAAACTATGCAATATCCTAATCGCAAAATGCATGTCTCGTGTCGAAATGAACGGAGTATCGCAAATGAGTTCTGCGGAAACCGGCAAGGTGGCGGAAGGGTTAAGAAAGGGAAAGACGTCAGCCACCCCGTTTGTAGCGCCAAGCCGCAAGAAAGTCCCTACGGATTTCTCAGAAAGAAAAGCCTCTTAATTGCCGAAAAACTCGTCCTGGTCCGGGGTTCGATCCCGGGACCAACGCCTATCCGAGGTGGTCGCTCTGCCGATTGAGCTAACCAGGAAGCTAGCGATTGACAGCGCAAGGGCGAATTAATTGCCAACTCGAAGCGCATGGACACAAGTTTTCTTTATTAAACGAAGGGTTCTTTCTGACTCGAACGTCTCATTTATCGCAGCTTCCTCATGTACGTCTTCGATCGCCTGAGTCCGTACAGCTACCGCAACAACAAGGAGAAGTATGCGGACGACGAGGACAAGCGGGACTTCAGCCTCAAGGAGTGCCTCTGGTTCTGCATGACGTCGCTCACGCCACAGGGTTGAGTTCACATGCTTCCTATTAACGCGAAGGCCGTAGGCGCCTCAATAAAGTAGCCGGCTGGCTAAGTTAGTCGGGCATACTTGAGAGGAACAGCGCATGAAAAACACAGCCACCAAACGCACAGGACAAGTGCTGCTTGTCCTGTGTGTTTACCGGGATACCATGGAGTTCCCGGAATATTCAATTCCTTTTTATTAGTTTAAACGTGCGGGTTGTTTCCGTTGAATTAAAAGCTACAGATGTAGCTGGACGGGACCCAACGACTGGGCTATACTAAACAGGGCCGTAACAAGAAGCAATCCGGTGCAGTTATGAGGAAAACAACAAGTAAAATCATTGAAATAGAATATCTTACGTAGATATACATCAGACTACATATATTTCCAGCACGGTAACTGCACGAAAAGAGAGTGAAAATAGAACAGTGTATATTTATTTTATTTTCACTTTTTTCATGCAGTGTGAATACAAGTGCATAAAAAAGCTGAAAAAAGTTTACATACAATAAAATACCACTAGAGAATAAAGAATAAACAGAATTGGTAGAAATACAGAATATTGACATCGTAATACTTTTGCAATACTATCAATTCAGAACTCAAGGGCTAAGGAGTAGCCGGCACCGTACTTGTGCGCCAACGTCTTCTTATATATCATGTGAATAAAGAAGAGGAATAAAAGTGAAACTGAGCTTGCAAATTAAAAATAAAACACAGGCCATATAACACACAACGTGGCAAGAAATTGATGCAATCATAATAAGTACGTTAAAATGGCATGATTTACACGCAGTGCAATTGCACAGAATGTCACAGTATGTGACACTAGAAATGAACGAAGTGTAAACGCAAATCTTTTTACTAAGCATGAGGATTGGTTCAAATTTATTTAAACTATATGACAGAATATATACCAACAATCGGTGTTTATAATGACGAGGCAAGAAGATGGCCTGTTCATCAGCGTGTCGTTACCTTGAGGACTTTCAATATTTTCATTTTTCTCCGCACGCATGGCTTACTTTCCATGTGACCACAAGCAACGCGCGCGGGCAGGTGGCGGCGTTCTACGGTGGCCACTGTAAATATATGCAGCTCCCAATCATGGCTTCTGGTAAGACCCGCGTGCGGCATGTGCCCGCCATCTCGAAAGCCATGCTCCCAATGCTCAATTCAGCCAATGGTTTTGGAGAGCGTTTATGGCGTGGTCATTTGAGTTTTGGCATCATTTGTCGAGAGAAGCGAGAACAGCTTCGAGCTCACTGAGAATTAGTCGTGAATTCCAGGCCGCTTTCTGCCCTTAAATGTTCGACAAGCGTGTTCTCAGCCTCTTCTAGAGAAAGAGAGAGAAGCAACTTTATTAACGGCATAGGAAGGTCGTTCTCAATACATCTTGCCGGTGGTTCGAAGGTTGGTGGCCGAAAGCTTGCCAAAACGGTTTCGTTCCAGTTAATCACTTCTGCTTGAAGACGGCAGTTGACGACAAGAGACTCCCACGCCTCGAGGGACTATACCGATCGGCAGCGTTTTCCTATCATGCTGAAGAAGTGCTGCAGGGCCCCTTTGAAAATGTGTGCGCCTACACCACGTTCTGTGCTCGTTCCCTGATTGACTTTATCTCTTTTGTCACTCTTCTCTGTCTTTCGCCTGTTTTACTTTGCACTGCAAGCATGTGATTATGGGTCACTAACTAGCTTAATCGACATTGTTGCTGCGCTGCAAACGCGCAGGTGGTGGAGAGGCGCCGCGCAACCTTTCTGGACGGTTGGTGGCGGCCACCTGGTGGCTCTTCGGCTTCATCATCATCGCCTCGTACACGGCCAATCTGGCCGCCTTCCTGACTGTGTCCCGACTGGAGACGCCCATCGAGTCGCTGGACGACCTCTCCAAGCAGTACAGGATCAAGTACGCACCCCAGAACGGCACGGCTACGATGACGTACTTCGAGCGCATGGCCGGCATCGAGAACAAGTTTTACGAGTAAGCGAAGTTATCGGAGTTTCGGAATTCCATACGCAAAGCTGGGGAGCCTAGCCGGCGCAGCATTGCGGGCGTCACCTAGCGGGAGCCCGCAAGAGGTTAGCGTACGACGCATGTTGAGGAAAGGACAAGCCGCTGTGCCCATGGCGAAGCCCACCCGATGACTTCTTCCCCAATATGTAACAACGCATGAACAACGCAAAGGCAAAGCTTTGCGTTACGTTATTCTAAATCTCTCTGTTGACTACAACGTTGAACGCTACGTTCTAGCGCCAAATGCTACGGCGCGAAATTTTACGCGACGTTAGAGAGTTTTAGTACTGCGGAATGGTGCTACGTACGCATCACGCAAGCGGCTTGCGTTACGTGGTGTCGTTTGCCACTAATCGGCTTTTAGTACGCCGTAGTACCCGCGTACGTAACGAGCGTGAAGTGTGTTGCGCCATCTGGTAGATCAAAATAGAAGCACGTGCTGTTGACCGCCAATGTGAGCCAATCTAAGTGTTATAGCCAGAGTATGGCCATATTTTAAGCCACAGAGTCGGTCGGTGCTTGCCTTCGATGCCGCCATTTTGCAAAACGAAGTCTCGCTCTGTCGCGAACTCTTTCGAGAGCGGCGCGATCACCTCATACGTACGCACGCACGCATCTCATGCGTGCGTACGTAGCGGCTGCGTACGTAACGCGATACGTGCGAGTTGCGGTCTGCGCATGCGCACTACGCAGAACGCGGCGTCCTTACGTACGCAACGCCGCCACGCACGCAGCGTACGCAGTACTAAAACTCTCTGTTGTTAAGCAACACGAGAAGCGACGCGAGGAGCGGTCATCGCGCGAGAGTTCTCCAAGTCAATCACTCGATTCCGTAAATTTAGAAACGGTCACTTTTAGCACCAAAGTCGCATGACCGACTGGGCATAGCACATGTCCACAGCATGGTATATACGAGTGACGCAATGCGTGCACTGGTAAACAAAAAGCATTTAACCGAAACGCCCACGCACGTCAGCAAACAAAGGAATCAATGCACGTTTTGCAGGAATAGTTTATTTGGCGTTGTAAAAGAAAACGTATTGCATTACATGAGATGCCACTTTCGTCCCACCAGTTTCAAGACAGAGTAGCCGCTCTCACACCATCGGGGCTAGAATTTCGTCGCCGTAGCTGTCGCCGGAATGGGGCTTGGTTTCTTGAGTGACATCGTGGGCAACGCTATTTACGTTGCATTGATTGTTGTCGTCGCGTTATAGTTATAGTACAACAAAAGGTTTTTCCCAAAGACTCGCCAAGACAAGCGAAACAGGGTCAGAAGAACGCGAAATGATTAATAATAATTGGCAAGCATTCCTTGGAGTGTACACCGACAAATATGGCGTAAAAGGCAGGTTTCAAAACACAAAAAGAGCAAAACGTTGTATCACTTTCTTAGCAACACATGAAGCTCTACATATAATGCAAAAGACCGCCTATAATTGAATGTATGGCTTTTTTGTGCGTCTGTTTTCAGCATCTGGAAGAACATGTCTTTGGATGATAGCTTGAGTGACGAAGACAGAGCCAAGCTGGCGGTGTGGGATTACCCCGTGAGTGACAAGTACACCAAGATGTGGTGGGCCATGACAGAAACTGGCCTGCTCTCGAGCTTTGAGGAAGGTCTGAAAAAGGTCAAAGAGTCGAAGGGATCGCAAGAAGGTTTCGCCTTCCTCGGTGAGTCACCCACCATCAGCCGTGAATCGGCGATAAGCGGCACTATACTATAATATTATCTGAGATTTTTAACGTCCCAAAACCATGACATGATTATGAGAGACTCCATATAGTGGAGGGCTCCGGAAGTTTCTACCATCTGGTGTTCTTTAGGGTGTAATTCACACGACGGACATGATTGCGGAAAGATCAGTGCAAGTGACGTGTGACGTAATTCGGGTCCCACTGCAGCCAGAATTCGCACGACAGAGAATATTTCGCGCTACAAGCAAGGATTTCGACACTGCTCCCCGAGAATCCCAACCGTGGTTTGGGATTCTGCCGTTTCACGAATCGGTCCAGGCGTACCGAAGCGGGAACGGCTGACGTATGTTGACGTATAGTACGCAATCCGCAAGCTCGCATCGCGTTTTGGTCCGTCGTGTGAATACAGCTTTAAGGTGCACTGACATCCACAGTGCACTGGCCTCTACGATCTCGTCCTCATAGAAACGTGGCCGCCGCGGTGGGCATCGAATGCGAGACCTTCCGGTCAGCAGTCGATCACCCTTACCACTAAACCATCAGGACTGAAAATATGACAAGGAACGTCAGTATCAAAAAACAATTCATTTTGAAGATGTAAAAACACGGATTGCCGTTGAAGCGAACGCTACTAACAAATGTTTTCTCTTCTTCAAGATTCTAGCTGCTTACCTTTTCGTGTACATCTGTGTGTTTCGTATACCCTATCCGCCAACCAAAACAAAAGAACAGGCTTGTCCTTTTCCTTTTTAGGGGCGAAGCTCCTTAGGGCGTGGGCTGTGCGTCCCCTGTACGTAGCCACCTCTAGTTTAGTTCTTGCAGTGTTCACTAGATGGCGGTACCGTCCCCTGTATGTAGCCACCTCTAGTTTAGTTCTTGCAGTGTTCACTAGATGGCGGTACCGTCTCCTGTATGTAGCCACCTCTCGTTTAGTTCTTGTAGTGTTTACTAGATGGTGGTACTTGTAGCTGATGATGAAAAGATGCAAGATGCTATAAACTAGAAAGCGGTACTTGTAGTTGATGAAAGACGCGAGATCTTATAAAATAGGAATGATGTCACATATGGCGCGTGTCATTGGTTGAAAACAATCATTCGATTTAGTGCGGCGACGTACGCTAGGGGGAGCGATGTAATAAAATCGAGTGGGCAAAATGTACAGAGGATTCATGGTTTACCAGGTTTACCTCCGGAGCTTCGCCCACTCATCATCATTCACTTCGTGGATATGGCGGCACTTTTTTTTTCTTTACACACACACGCAATACATTTCACGTGCTATAGTAGGTAGTTGAATGCTTGAGGGCTACACTACTCGTCTAAACGTTAGTTCGAATGACACCATGTTTACAAGATTTTTTTTCATCTCCTCAGGCTTCGATCTTCGATCTGAACGCCTGCTTTTTTTTAGTTTCATTGAGGAACGCAGGAACACAAACGTCCAACATTCGATGAAAGCACGCCAGCCTTGTAAACACACATCAACCATGAGAGACATCCCGTATGCGGGTTTAAATAGGTGAGGAGGAGGAGAAGGAAGATAGAAGGATGAAGGAGAGGGAGGTCAGTTTAAATAGGTGCACATGTCTAAGCACGTATGAGCACAATGCACTATAGAGGCAACCATAACAAGGGCTAACAGTTTGCAAGAGTTGGTAAAGATCGATAACCGCGCGCTGCTCTAACTGACATCGTCGTATTTCGTGGAGCCGTTTGATAATTAGGAAGACATCAACGAGCAAAATAGCTATCTTTGGTGGTCTGTCTCTATGGAACGCCACCCCCGCTAGACGAGCGAAATGGCTCTGTAGTTCCGCGCCTGAACGGCTTAAAGTACTAGGCTTAGCTGCGTACTGAAAATGGACTTCATATTTTTCCTGTAGGGCGAAATGCACCGTCATCAGGTTCGTGGGTTTCAAAATGAAACCCAGTTTTCTCTACAGTACGGCTTCGCTCATTGTCCAACTGGAGATGCAGGGTTGGTGACAGGGCCACAATAACACACGGCCTCCGTGTATCCGCGTACAGAACGCGTGTTTATCAATAAATTTGTGATGTTCTTACATCTCACCGTAGCACAAAGGCTTGCCGATTACCTGTCTCACACGCAGCTCTTTCGTCCAAAGCTGTCAGTTTTCATTCCCAATGACCTAAGGGTCCGTCCAATGCGTGCTCTAGTGGGATAGGAGTGGACCAACCTACAGACAGACTTACAGACAGACGCTTCGCCCCACTCATTACTATTCACTCTGTGGATATGCTGTGAACTGTTGTGTGTTTGTGTGTGTGTGTGTGTGTGTGTGTGTGTGTGTGTGTGTGTGTGTGTGTGTGTGTGTGTGTGTGTGCGTGTTTGTGTGTGCGTGTGCGTGCTTGTGTGTGTGTGTGTGTGCGTGTGCGTCCGTGCTTGTGTGTGTGTGTGTGTGTGTGTGCGTGTGCGTGCGTGCGTGTAAAGGAACAGTCCTTGTGTCCCTGCTCGCGCACTGTCCTATGTTAGTGGCGCAAGTTACAGAACACCACATGAATGTGGCGAGTTGGGCTTGTTGGTAGGTTATTTGGGCACACTACCACCCAAAAACCCAACAAGCAGAGAAGGAACAGAAACGGCGACAATGGGCGTACCTTGTGTTCCGTACGTTGGGTACCATTTCGCTGTGTGTGCGTGTGTCTCTGTGTGTGTGTGTTTGTGTGTCCACATGACATCACACGCTGGATTTATAATTGTTGTAGTTTGCTCGGGTGATATTTAAAGCTTCAGCCCTGATTATATAGTCTGCACTATGTTTCTGGCACGGCACGGGTTGATCTTCGCGACTCTTGCTAGGTTTTCACTTATGCGAGTCGGGGAAGTCGTAATGAGTATTGTGCCTAATAAAATTACTGCATTCACATTACAGCGGACGCGATGCGAGTGCAGTATGCCACCATGACCGACTGTGACCTCGTCTCCATTGGCAGAGAATTCAGCAAGATGCCCCTGGCACTGGGCGTACAGCGCAACTCTCCCTTGAAGGACATGCTATCCAGCGCGTACGTATCACCTTGCCGCACCTTCCCGGGCCTGTATACTGTTCGCAAATCCATAAAATGTCCCTTGTGCTACGAGCACTGGCAAAAAAAAATTATGCAAAGTTATGCCCAACAGGGTCAAAGCAGCGCTTTTGCTTGGCGCTGTGCTGAAGTTTACCGATTGTGACGTCTAATCGTTGCCGCGTCGAAAGCGAAAGCGTGCTGGCCGTAGAACACCTCGTTTTCGCCGGCCTGAAGGATTTCACAAACGAAACAGTGGCAATAATGGCGCTCTGCGTGCGAACATCGTGCCTGTTTGGTGAACTACATCAGATTTACTTCAGGTTTGAGAACCTGTCCAGGGAGCCCCATCGTTGAAGAAGTCAACTGCTCATGTATAGCGGGCCTCTCCGAAAGGTGCAAAAGCACTTGTGCTCTGCGCTGGTGCGCTGCTATACAGGCAAAGCCTTCGTAATTTTCGAGGTAACCACGATGTGACTCATGTGGCCGATGGCATATGTAACCTATTAAGTTTCCTTGTCCCGTTAAAAGCTGAATACACGTGCAGTTCACGTAATTACATAACGAAGCTATATATATATATATATATATATATATATATATATATATATTAGTCCGTGTATATTGACGCAAGGCAAATCGTATATTTACTATTATATTGGGAGTGTTTTTTTTTTCGTTCGCGCTTCCATGTTATCAGGTTTCTAATAAATAACGTCTTGTGCTTCCGAACGCTGACTTGCTAGTGTTTGCAGCACTTGATATTCACAGCAGATACATGCATGCACACTGTGCGTGCTACGCACGCATGAACATTATACATGCACGCTGCGCATGCGCGAACTTACGTACAGGGTAATTGAAGCCCCCCCCACCCCCAAAAAAAAGGCAGCCGTACGACACTGAAAGTATTATAATATAAGAATCTCATCACTAATCAAAGTAAATTAACTTTCAGATAATCTCGTTAGGTTGCCCGGAATTAGACAGTGTAATGGTTAATTATAAGCGCATCCCTCGGGAACAAGCCTGTTCCAACATTAGCTGCGCTGCACTGTGTCGGAAAAGAACCCAGCGATGCACCCGCCCTCGAACGCTCTAAAACCTGGAACCGTCGCTTTTCGCAGTTCGTCTTTCATTTCTTGCGAGCTGTTTAACTAAACTGCCAGCGCGTCGCGTTTAATAAGAACACAGCACCGTCTGTATAGTCACCGCAGAGCAAACGCCGTCATAAACGCCGTGCGTTTGTCCACATTATATATTTCTCGGATTTCACCGCTACAGTTCACGTGAACTAAACGCGTACGTCAGGGGCAAGGGTGTAGTGAGAAATGTTTCTTTAGGGGCGAAGCTCCTTAAAGCGGCACCCGTTCGTCCCTCGTCATAGTACGTAACATGTCTTACGCTTTGACCTGCAAGGTGGTGGCGGTGGGAGATTTCTCCTGTGCGTTGTTGAAAAAAAAAATATTCGCAGAGTGCACGTTAACTAAAAGCTGAATTCTCCTGTCTCTCATTCTCCATTAGCAGCCATTGTCATGTACAGACGGGTCCACTGTTGAAGGGAACACCTGCGTGAGTAGCATGTTCAGATTTCGCTATCTTACGGAATCATAGCGGCTTAGATATGCAGAAGACTATTGGTGGTTAAAAGTTCTGACTCCTCTTGACAGACTATTGACTTGCATGAAGATTGTTTCTTAATTCATTTGCTCTTAGAGGGCCTGGAATATTGATGGTGTGCACTTGAGTGTTGCCTGTAACAGTGGACCATAGTGTACATTGAGCACTATCTGACAAGGAAGGGTTGCTACGTTATGCTCGCTGAGCGTACCCTCCTTGGTTTTAGAAAGGTTTAGCGAGCGTTGGGCCGCAGTGCCATGAATACATTGAACTAGTATATACCATGAACTCGAGGTGGTTAAAGGTGGGAAGTAGACACGAAGCGCAAGCCGTAAGAAAGTGTGCGTGTGCCACTTCTCGCCTAGTCCTTGGAATGTCCACTGGATGGTGGTGCTTCTGTATGCGGACTATATGATGAAAAGATGCGAGATGGTGGTACTTGGAGTGTTGACTAGATGGACGAACGGAAACACAGACCGATGAATGGACGGACGCACTGGTGGCTGCATGGAAGGATGGACGCATGGACGGACGCAGGGGCGGATGCATAGACTAACGCAGGGACAGACGCACGAACAGACAAATGCACAGATGGGCGGATGGATGCACGGATGGTCACAAAGACGGACGCATGGACGGACGGAAGCAGGAACGAATGGACAGACGGATGCTTCGCCCCACTCTCCATCAATCATCCCGTGCATATGCTGCCACTTTCTTCCTTTCTTGTCCCCTCTACGGGCGTTCGCTATTCTCAAGGGGAATCACTACACTGCACGCGAGACGCGTTCGAATGGAAGCGTGCATCCGCGCCTAAACCAAACCACTATGTGCAGGGAAGAGAGGAGACTCAGGTGCCAAACGTCCGCAAACACCATGAATACTATAGCCGCTAAATGAAATAATAAAAACTGACGAGACTCGGGTGCCAAACGTCCGCAAACACCATGAATACTATAGCCGCTAAAAGAAATAATAAAAACTGACGTACCAAATAATAATATGATTAGTAGAGAGAACATTGCAGCGTCAGAGAAAATTGTGCGGGGCTCCTATACCACTTTGGAAGGTCAGTGAAGCATCGCTTCCTAAAACATCTCAGTGCAGAAAAAAAAATCACTGCTTAATTTAATGAGGAAAGGACGACACATCAAGATGGCAGATGAAATAAAAAAAAAGGCTCGAAGCCGGCGTTCAGTTCATTGCACTATGCCTGGTGTAGTGAACGTCAAGGAGAGAAGGGGAAAGAGGTAGGGAGTACGTTAACTATAATCTGAACCGCGCTGCACAACAGCGCTGCTTGAAACACGGAAAACGCAATTCATTCTTTTTTTTTAATTCGAAGCATTTGATAGCGAACTTCAGTGACTTTGAGCGTATCTATCTATCTATCTATCTATCTATCTATCTATCTATCTATCTATCTATCTATCTATCTATCTATCTATCTGTCTGTCTGTCTGTCTGTCTGTCTGTCTGTCTGTCTGTCTGTCTGTCTGTCTGTCTGTCTGTCTGTCTGTCTGTCTGTCTATCTATCTATCTATCTGTCTGTCTATCTATCTATCTATCTATCTATCTATCTATCTATCTATCTATCTATCTATCTATCTATCTATCTATCTATCTATCTATCTATCTATCTATCTATCTATCTATCTATCTATCTATCTATCTATCTATCTAGCCGCCTATGACTTTGGCTCTCTTGGCCATTTCGATGATGGTATCGTTACCAAACTTGGTATGGCTCAACAAGACTGTATGAAGATCATATTTGACTAGTCATAACATGAAAATCATATGTATGTTATGAATGTCATGATTTACATTTCATGGTCCTGCAGCTCTTGCGGTAGTTTCGTTCACATGCATGGTATGTTGCAAAACTGGTATGGTATGGCATGATTGCATGGCGAATACAAGCGACCGATAACATGAAAATCGTGACATGCGTGTCATGTAACATGGCTACATGGCTACATGACACGCTCATGATGCACTCGCGGCGTTTCGCTAGCGTCACATATACCAAATTTGGTACTACAGTATGTGAATGGGTGACGAAGGTGTGTGACTGGTGCAAACATGATAATCATGAGATGCATGTCATGAATGTAAACATTCGACAGAGGTCTGTATGGTTGGGTATGAAACTGGGAGATGATTTAGACTCCAATCAAAAGTTTTGAAGAAACCCAACGTTTCGAAACCGCCTTGGTTCCTTCCTCAGGGGTGATTGCGGAGGCTACGTAGCAGCGGCGTCTTCAAAGCACTCGCGGGGTGGATAATGACCCCCCGCTCTCTCTCTCGTTTTGCCGTGGAGCGCAGTCCGTGTGCACACACTGGGGGAAGGATTCCGAGAGAGCGGTTGATGTTATGGGATGTCCTCTGTATGTGCCACGACCCGAGTATCAACCTTCTCCTCCAGTTCGGCTCGCTTTCAAGGTTGGCCGTCACTTCGAAATTGATCTGGTGATCCAATGTGTCAGCATGTTCGGCGACTGCGCTGCGCTCTTTGTAGGACTTCCGCACATCGTTGTGCGGAAGTTCTACCATTAATCCTGCTGTCACTTCACATCGTTGTTACTGTTGTTGTTGTTGTTGTTGTTGTTGTTGTTGTTGTTGTTGTTGTTGTTGTTGTTGTTGTTGTTGTTGTTGTTGTTGTTGTTGTTGTTGTTGTTGTTGTTGTTGTTGTTGTTGTTGTTGTTGTTGTTGTTGTTGTTGTTTAACAGACTGCACGTTCGCACCCACAGCATCATCAAGCTTCTCAGGGAAGGTCGTTTGGAGGACCTTAAGGACATCTGGTGGAACAAGAACCCTGCCAGACAAAACTGTGACGACAAGGACCGTCAAAGCGACGCCATCGGTATTCGTAACATTGGTAGGTATGGTACTTTAAGGCGTACTTTTTCCAGCGAAAGCTGTTATGAGACCACAGCAAGGCTACTGTAGTTGTCCGCCGCCGCTGGTGTCCGCTATAGCACAAAATAAGAAAAAAAAAACGAAATGATAAAAAAATATCCACGATAGAACGGGGTCCGACCCTGGGTCTTCTCTCTGCCCGCCCTGTATTTCCATGCCAATGCTGGAAACTCCTGCACAAACACACAAATAAAATGCCAGACCTGCGCGGAAAGCGCAGCACAGTCGCAGTGACATCTGAAAGAGCATCGGTTGCATCAACACTTGCATGAGGGTTTTGTGTGCAGGAGTTTTGAGCACTGACGTGGCTCAGAGTTAGAATAGTGGGCTGGAACGAAGAGGAAACTCATCACCTTTACAATATTAGGCCAACATTATTTGTGTTTCGAGGCTTATCTGAGCGTATGAACTGTATAACTTGCATTTTTGACATTAGCAATTGAGGAACGCATTTATTGTTGACAAGTGTGCTCTTAGCCGGCTCATATAATTTCAATCTCCCTATGTAGAATGTGAAGAAAATGCAAGAAAATGATTTGGTTGTTGCACAGGTATTCACGAAGCGTCTAAGTGACGCGTGTAACAGTACTTCCTCGTTTTTTAACTTATATACAGCTAGCGGGGTTACCTTTAACTAGCCATGCATATACAATCTTTGTACAGGGGGCGTTTTCATCGTCATCGGCATCGGCGTCGTTGGTGCTGTCATCACCCTGGGCATAGAATTCTGGTGGTTCGGGAACCGCAAAGCTGGCACCAAAGTGGTCACCGTCAAGGAGCACTCTGGCAAAGACTCTACCAAGCGTCCCATGAAATACTAGTATAACCTATAACCGGGCATCTGTCTCGACATAGCGTAAAATCGCTAAGCCAGACTGCACGACACCACCTTTCCCCAGCCTGAATAGGAGTGCGAAGGGTTCCCTGTTAGGTAGATGGGGGTCAGGAGAAGGGGTCAAATCTATCGCAACACCCCTATCCTCTCTACCGAAAATTCATAAGACAACAAGCTTCACAATGGAACGGATGGCGAAAGAAGGGAAAACGAAGCAATATTGCTTGGCAACGGGTTAGACGTGTATTAGATCTGCTTCTCAGAATAACCTGCCTTAGGTTCTTAGTTTTACGGTAGTAAAGAGGATAAGCGAACGGATCTTTTAATGCAACATGAACGGTATCTGGCCGCCGTCACCGCCAAGAACCTGCCTAGCTATAACACCTTGCTCTGTGATCAGTAACGGGACGTCAGACTCGGTAAATTTATGGGGACCACTTTTGCGGCCCCCCTCTCTTTGCACATGCCCGTGATTATGGCATTGTTCACTCGCTAAACAACACCGTAGAGTCATTCAATGCTTGTTTTGGGTCAGAAACTTCCGCCCCACTTTCGTACATGGAGCCAGCATCTGCCGCTAGAGGCGCAACTGATCATGAGAGGGCATGAGAGCACCGCCCGTCACTGTCGTTGAGCGACAGGGCAGCCTCGACATGCGAGTGCTATGAATATCCGCAACAGTCGCTTCACTAGCATGAAGCTGTACTTTCAGCAATCAACATGCACAAATGAACGGCGTTCAGAGCACGTCCAGAATTTCATCAAAAGTATTGACGGACTCCAACCTTTCGGAGCGACATATCGCTCTGCCTGCCAAAAATAGCCACGCGCGAGAAACTTATACTGTGAGAATAAATGTCTGCGAAGAAGCGGCCTAGGTTTGAGCACTTGCGTACCGCTTGAAGCAAAGAATATCACCGAATTGCGTTGAGTCAGCCTTCTTAGAAGGATTTTTCTTGGAAGAGAGTGACACTGCTTCGAATGGTATACTTCTATTCGCGTTTCCACCAAGATGTGTTTCAACAACAATACCAATAACGGTCGCAAGGCACGCAGTGATTTTGCTAGCTGTCAGCGTGAAGTGTTAGAGATCAACATACGGCGCAGAGGTTGTTCCGACGAACGCAGCCGTATTGTCCACCGACATGCAAGCTACCCTCTAAAGTCAAGTTGACGTACTTGGCACCAGTGGACGTTATTCTGAAAGCAGTCGCTGATAAACTGAACCCCAACAAGGTTTTAGTGTCGACGACTGCTGCACCTAAACGAGTTGTATAGTGTCCCACTAAGTTGTTACCGATAATGGACAGTTCCTTGGCCAAACTAAACAAAAAGCGCACGCGATAGCACATGTACTCTCCAGAAAATTAATTACATTACACCTTAAAATATACTAAAATTAATGACACTCATTAAATTACGTTCTCGGTCATTTACACTGTCGCACCCGCTCAACCCCCTTTGAAGGTGTGTGCAGCTTGCCCACTTTTGCGTTCTATAGGCCTTCGAGAAAGGCCCCACTTTTTATGTCGCCTGAAGAAGTCATTAGATGACGTCATTGACGAATCATAACGGTTCCTTGTTTAATTCATCATCACGTGACGTCATCACTGGGTGACCTGACTTTTGGTACTTTTCGAGTTTCCGACGCCCCAAGACTCCGAATGCGCCGCATTAGTCGCAAGTCTGCCCAGTAAAAAATCGGTGAGAAATTCGAGATGAAATCCAGAAAGTCCATATCGCACCTATGGCCCACGTCACATCTGAAATGCTATATCCAGCTCCTGCTACGCAGTTTACATTATAGGCAATCTATTCAACCAAAAGTGCTCTCTATTCAACCACTTTTTGATGTGACTCTACCATATATATACTTTGTTACTTTGGGTGAGCCGGAACCAATCGTAAGACTTTGAAGAAATGTTTATGTGACAACAAAGAGAAAACGCTTACAGGTTAGCTTATTGAAGCTAGTATGCTTCTGGTTGGAGACAGCTTGAACTGCTGACGGAGAATTACAAAGATAACTTTGCGTTAACGGCGTGTGACAATTCGCACGTACACACGTTTGTGCGAGGTTTCTGATAAGCACGATTGCACGACTTCATAAACCAACGCGACTGTTCATAAAACATCCCCACTTCGAGTTAAGCTTGAGCGTGCAATTCAAGAAGCAACATGTTGTTTCTCTTATTGTAAGACATATAAGATGAAACAAAAATGAAAGCACTGTCTGTGATTGTGAATGTGTGAATGTACCTCGTCGTGTGTCGTCATCTCTCAGCTCTGCTGATGCAAGTAACCTCATTGAGCGAAGACTCCTTCCAAATTTATTTCTATAATTTGGTTTGTTTGTTGTGGTGCTCCTATTTAAATTCACTTGCAGTTTTTACGGATACGTGTGACTGGTGAATTCTGAAATAAAATACACCTTCTGTGGTTATACCCAGCGCGTTATTTGCTACGCACAATTTAAAGTCAAAATCAAAGGTCGAGAGACCCGCATCAAGCGCACTTGATGGGTAAGTAGAGCGTATTGTGGTTTAACTACCTTAACTATGCATTACCTAGCATGCCGTATTCTTGAGCTTACGTTAAACGGAAATAGCGAGCGAACAGAACAAGTAGGCGAGTTGCGCCTCAACAACTTTGGTTAAAGTGACCTGCACAGGCACGTCACGAGTGACGTCATTGCTAGAGAGGGACGTTACGGTCGATCCTGGTTCTGGTAGTCGTGATGGTGCAAAATAGCGAGAACCTGCGAAGCGGTGTGGCGTAAGGCTCCTCCGTGGCCTTGGCAGATTAGGGATGGCTATGCAAGCTCAGACAGAACCTGGCCTTGCAAGGTACATTGTACGGTGGGGACATGACGTCATGCATGACGTTTCTTGCAAGACGCTGTGACTCCAAGTATACGAGGTCCAAATGGACTCTCTTGCAATAAATACATCGTTACTGGGCTGTGGTGGTTGAGCAGCTCGAGAAGGAACCTGCTGTGTCAGGGAGACGAGGGTCGAGAAAAATGAAGCGCTATACTTAGACACGCTACAGTCTGGAATCTGCAGTTGCTCAGTTGCTCCCACCTGTAAATATGTGTGAATATGCGTTTGCATGCAACTATATCAACTTGTTGGTTATTGACGGAGGCTCTACGTAGCAGTCAGCAATTTGTTGGCCGTGTCAAAGTAACAATGCTACCTTCAAAATGCTCCAGTCTCGATCCTGTTTCTTAGAATGCGCAGCACATTGAAAAAAAAAACCATTTTTAGTTAGCAATATTTTCGTAGAATGGACACACAACTAAGCGGCCCAGCGTTTAGTCGACGTGTAAACATGCACAAACGGGAGGGCGAAAAGTATGCTGGTACGTATGGCCACTGCACGCAACAGAAAGATGTGCGAGACGAAGAGGCAGCAGACGCCGCTGACTTTAAGCTCCTCCAAATCATCAGCAGATCAGACACAACAAATTGAAAAGCTGATTAACAGAAGGTCCAATTAGGATTTCACCCACACAGCCTTGGAAACAGTTGAGCATTGCTATTTTTTCTTTCTTCTTTAATCATATTACCTCGAGATGTCGTTTATTACACTTTCGTTTTTCACTACAGCGCGATGGATTGAAAATGAAGCTATTATGGAGCGGTGGCTTCTCGTCCCACTCTGCAGCTCGGTTTGAGTTCCCTCCCACACATCTTCCGGGAGAGGAGTGTCCAAACCTCACGTATACCTCCCCAAGTTTTAAGAGTGGAGTGGTTAAGCTCGAAGAAACTTCGTTGGTTCCGAACTAAAGTTGTCATCACCATCAACCAGAACGCGCATTTCTTGGTCCTCTTCATCATCTTCGCTCCCTGAACGCGCATGTCAATTTTTATAGTGTGGGAGGCTATAAATATGGTAGGGGAGAGATCTCGTACGCGGAATGCGAAAGATCAACCGCGAAAGAATTACAAGAAACACAGAAACAGAAACGGAAACATATAAGACAGAAATAGAAATAAACCGACCTTTGAAAAGGTGAAAAAAGAGAAAGCACGACAGAGCGAGAAAGAGAGACAGATAAAGAAAAAGAGGAAAGAAAAGGAGAAATAGGAGGCGCAAGAAAGAGAAAAAAATTAAAGAAACCGCAATGAAAACACACGAAAAAGATATGAAAAACGAGAAAAAAGAGTAATATAGATTAACAAAAAAAAAACGCTGCCTATAGCTCTTCACTTCCTTCGATCTTGGCACTACTAATGCGAAGGTACCTCAATTAATTTATTTTTTAATCTTGAGTTAGTGCACACACATATACTACAACAACAGAATAATCCAAGAATAAACAAGAATAAACATTAAAAAATAGCGAAGTTCTCAGTAAGTGACGCAAGTGTTCAAACATCTCAACCGAACTATTCTGAAAACAAATCTGGTTGATGCAAGGTTGTTACTTAAGACCTTATAGGAATATGTATTTCAGGTTGTTTTTGCTCTCTTGTAAGTCGTCTATAGGCTTTAGCTAGGTGTGTTAGGTTCTTTCTACGTTGATTTTCAGCGAGCAGACCTAAAACCACCATAATCATATGGTGATTTTGGCACATCATATGATGGTTTTGGCACATTAAACCTCACATACCAATTAATCAAGCAGTCAATCAATTCCGTTGCCTATATAGACGTACTCGAGGCATTCGGCTCACCGCTTTTGCTTCGTAGTCATTTGTTGGCCTAGCTGATACCTTCTTCATGTTTGGTAGACCAGGGGCGAGTAATGCGATTTACGCAATTTCTGTGGTACATACAAGCTTATTAATCGAATAAAATTTTTATAGGCTACACCAACGCATAATTTTATATAGACTACTTTACCCAAGTCATGTGGACGCCGCCATCTTCGGCTGTTAAGCTGATGCTTTCTTTTCTGAATTTCGACGTAAATTAATAAGATCATAGAACGTCGCATGCAACCACCTAACCATTTGCATGCGCCTGCACCTATACCAT